TTGTTTTCCTTTCACCAGCATCTCAAGATTAAAATACCATCTCAATGCCCAACACGAATTTCTTGAATATTGAACCTGAACTTCTTTCTGCTCTTAAAATACCATCTCAGTGCCCAACACGAATTTCTCGAATATTGAACCTGAACTTCTTTCTGCTCCAACAAAATACAGAAAAATAAAAACATGATTTGTTTTGCCATGTTTAGAAATGTAAATATATATCCATTCATTATGATTAATCAACATCTACGCCTATGTACTTATTTTATAACAGCGATGGTCATTTAACATTCACAAAACAATTTGAACAAAAACAAAATCAAATGAATGTAAATATATCCATTATTTGGTGTTTCACAGATATTCTAATAATAGAAAGTCTAACACAGAACATTTGTTTTCTCTCTTAGGTTTCGTACGTCAAAGCTATTGACATCTGGATGGCTGTGTGTCTGCTCTTTGTATTTGCTGCCTTGCTGGAATATGCTGGGGTTAATTTTGTCTCCAGGCAACAGAAAGAGTTCCTTCGCCTGAGGCGAAGACAAAGGAGGAATCATAAGGTAGGCTGCCCAAGCTCCTCAAAATGAATTTTTGGTTGTCAAATTTTAACTATTAGTGACTTCCTGGGGGGGGGGGCAATTTCAATTTGTCTGCTGTAATTTATTTATTTTTTCCCCACTCTAAATTGAATCATTTTCTACTCTGCTTTCAGGAGGAGGAGCTGCGTGAGGGACGCTTTAATTTTGTCGGGTACAACATGAATCAGTGTCTGCCGGCGAAAGACGGCTCGGCTGTTAAGAACACCGCCCCGGCTCCGAACCCTCAACCTTCAGTCCCAAAAGACGTGGACATGAGGAAGAAGTTTGTGGACAGAGCCAAGAGGATAGACACCATCTCCAGAGCTGCTTTTCCTCTGGCTTTTCTCATCTTCAACATCTTCTACTGGGTGACCTACAAGATCATCAGACACGAGGACATCCACCAAAAATAGACTTAAAAAAACCCGACATCTATTTTTGAGTTCTCAGATTGAGAAAGGTTGAAGAAATGGACAAAATAGAAGGGAAAACACTTGAAAGACAAGGTACAAATGGAGGCACCATGATGGTCTCGTGTTCTTTCAGGGATAATGTTCCATTCAGTGTTCACGCGCCACACAGTGTCTGATGCACAGATGCTGAACATTTTAACTGCTGCACATTTTCCAAAGCAGTGTTTCTCAAATGGTGGGTAATGACTAAACAATGGCAATTAAGTCTGTGGGTTTCAAAAAAAAAAAAAATGTAAGTGTTTCCTTGTGTAAAACAAAACCATCTCTTGTACTTTTTGGTTCAGAGGGCGATGACGGGACATTTAGCCAATGTTAGCATAAAACCTGAAAATGTATTTGTTTTATTTTGGACTATATAAATCCCTATTATACAGTTGTTGTTTTTTTTATTACTGTATAATTTATTTATTTATTTATTTTAAAGTTAAAAATATGGTACGTAGTATTTTTGGTATTTTGTATTTGTAAACAGACATGCTTTTAGGTTTTAAGGTATTATTTTTTGCATATTACTGCAGGTTTTTTTTTACATTTGTTATTATTTGTATGTCAGTTGCTAACTGGAAACACGTACAGACAAATGATTACCAGCTAAGAATGGTTGACATCACTCGTCTCAACAAAAAATAACAAATAATGCATGATAAAATAATTGTCAGTGCCAAATATTTGAAATGTTTAAAAACAAAAAATCTAAAGTGGATTTGTTTTACGACATAGCCCTTCAAAAAAGAGTTTACTTGGTTAACTCTTACAGTCCCTCACTCCGTGACTTGGCTATGCTAAGATAAGCTAAACCTACGGAATCTTCCATTCTTCCTTCTTTTTCTTCCTTCCTCCTTCTATTTGTTTTTCTTTGGGTTTTAATGTCAAGAGGCAGAGTTTGTTTTTTGTTATTCCACTAACGACTGCCACAGTTTTTTTAAGACTCTGGCCAGGGGTGAAAGAGAAAGTAGAAGTGGAGCGCAGTATCACAGTAAATCAGCATTTCATGGAAATTCATGTTTCTACACTGTTGAATGGAACGTATTATAAAACTCAGGTAAAGTGAGAGTCGACCATTTGAGAACTACTGTTCTAAAAATATAGACGGAGGATTTTTATCTCAAGGTTTAACGTCACATGCTGGAAAAGACGGACCAAACCCCTTCACCCCCAAATTAACTATCCGAAGAAAACAAAACAAAGACAAAACAAACATTCCAGAGTTCGACAGATTTGTACTTGTACACTCAGACCGTTGACATTTTGTTATTGTTAAGGAGATCTTTCTTATCCACTCTATTTTTGACTGTTTTATAGTGTACTATAGTCACAGCATCACCTCGTGCGTTGAAATGGGGAAAAAACTGCAGCAAACATGGGAATGAAATACACAACAAGAAAGAAGATACTGTACATCGTAGGCGTCAGCGCAGGTTTCAGACATGAACGCGAACAAAGCGGATGAAAGGCTGAAAACAGATACTGCATTTTCATGAAAAAAAAACCCGAGGCCTTAGACATCAGAATATACAGTAGGGTTAGCCGATCGTCCTCTATGTTCCTCTAATTTCAAAACTTCTGTCTCCAGTAACTTTTCTACCTGTGCAAGAATTCAGACATAATTCTTCCAGTTACATTTTCTTCTCTGTGTGTATCATAAATACTCTCTAATAATTCAACAGTGCAATGTAAAATAAAACTGAATATTTGTGTTCCCTTTTTAGCATTATAATGTAATTGAATGAATTCAAGGCCTGTCGATGTTAAACCAAGTGTACGTTCTGAGCAGGTTTGAAGACAAGCCGTGAACACTGTCCACACTTCTACGAATTCATTCACACATATCATTTTCTTCACTTTCTGTACATAATTCATGTGTAATTTTCATTGTAATGAGGGGGAGACTCATGTTCAAATATACAGATATAAATAAGCAGTATATACATATATAAAGGTTATTGTATATGTCAACCTTTGTTGTGGAGAGGAGTTCCTCTCCTCCCCGGTGCGTATGCTGCTGAGATGTGATGTATGTCTGTGGAAGGATTCATGAACAACACCGAGATCTTCTCCTTGCACTCCTGATATAAATATTGAAGAGCTCCGTTTTATATATATAAATATATATATATATAGAAATGCTGTTCTTGAGGGGAAAGGGTCTATTTCTGCCATGTACATCAATAAAAAGGACTGTGCACCATGTTTCCTGCAACCCCATCTGTTTGTCCGTGTAAAGGAAACAGGTGAGAAGATTTGTCCTTGTGTTGCATTCGCTAGCATTAGTTGATAATTATATTGCAGTCCCAAAATGTCACTGACACTTTATATAAATAAATAAATACGTTGCCAAGTGAAGAGCATGAAAAAGTTGTTTTGTTTTTTTGGCCCGGTTGTAGATAAAAGCAAAAACGCCAAACACCGTCCGGGCTTCAAACCAAGCACATAAAGTCAGGCTGATGACACGTGCCATGCAGCACTGGCCCGCCTCGGGTGACGGGATAAGATCTGACAGCCAGTTTCCATTAATGCATGAGAATGGATTTCACTGTTCAACGCCACGATCCTATCAGCTGGGAGTCTTCAACAGGTTGGATACTGCTCTGGTGTTGCCACATGTGCACACAGTTACTGTACTGTATGTGCATTTTTTTTTTGCCAACACTTCAGAACAGTCACTGACGTTTGTTGCTAATTGAATATTTTCTTGCCTGTATGATCGTCTTTCATTTGAAAATGATGGAATAAAGTTGAAGAAGGCACTCACTCATGAGTACATAGGACTACTGTCATAGCTATTGTTTCAAAACAACAACATTTCTTGCTTTGTCTCCACTGCAATAGCTCTGTCCCTATAAGGGACTCTGCCCCCCGGTTTGGGAGCCACTGCGGTAAAGATATTTAATTCACAAGTGGCCAAAGATTGTAGATCCCACTGTATATCCAGAGTATTAAAGACCTGCCACCTCTCACCCGTTGTTTCACCCTGTGAGATGAAACAAAATACAAATTGCCGTCCTCAGAGATGAGATTGGCCACATAAGCATTAAACATATGGAGATAAATATCCTATAATGACATTATCAAAGCAATAATCCTGCTCATTATTATTGGTGAAGCCAGGATCCATCAACAATTAGTTGTAATGTAGACAAATACCCGTGGGAGGCTTATCCAAAAAGGGCTGCATCAGTAATCCTGTGTGTGTTTCTCCAAATGCTGAAAAACACGGGGATTATAAACCAATCAATGATACTAATCCTCACATGGAAACACCATAGAGCGAGGCTTTATTCCGCCGCACGTTATTGTCGCTGCTTTAATATTCAAAAGTCAAATAGTATTTTCAATTAAAGTCAGAATAAAGAAGCATCATTTGCGGCGCGTAATGTGTTCAAGAGGGAAAACAACTTTCGCCTCCTTCATTAAGGTTTAGTCAGGCTGCTTTCAGGGCTCTGGGAGAGGCACGAAGTGGGGGTTGCCATAGCAACTGCACAGCAATGGATGAAGCTAATGTGACTATGAAAAAGCAGGACATTAATGAAGGTAAAGACATTGGTGTATGCCTTTAATAAAAAAAAAAACAAGTAAGGCACTACGTTATAATTATGACTGCATTATGCAAACAATAAAAACCTTTTCCCTGGGGAATATTCAGACAGTAACGCTTCCTCCGACATCATCACACTATACAGATAAAACATGAAGATGCTACAAAGACACAGGGCACTTCAGCCACAGACATGCTGTTGCTGGGCACCATCGCCAGATGGATCCTTTCAGGCAGACTTCGTTTGAAGCAAGACTCTTTCTTCATGCAGAGAAACATATTATTTCTAATAGCAAAAGATTTTAGAAGCAATTTTAACGTAATGTCACATTGGCCAAACACAACTTTGGTTAATCTTAGCAATGTAGAAGAAGACCAATAAGCATGGAGGGGAATGTTAAACTAAATTCCATAATCTTTACACCTGTTAGCATTAATATGTACTACTAATAGAAATCCATTAAAATAAGCATGTTTACTGTAAGGAATATCTACAATACAATCATGTCCTTAGAGATCAGGTTAGCACAGTCAGCTAAGCTGCTATGTTAGTTTCAGCATTGAAGCCCTATGTTCAACTGCTATGTTAGTTTCAGCATTGAAGCCGTTTTATATGAACCACAGCACTACACTGGAGGCTCTATATTTGCAGTACAATTACAACCAGGATTGTTGTCTTTACTGTATGAAGAGAACACACTTATGTTGTAGACAAAATCAATGTTCTCATACTCTGGTTTGTTGACCCGCTGAGCTCCAGAGTCCAGAGGACAGGAAACCTCATGACCTTAATCAATAAGAGTCAAATACAAGCAAATAGCAGGGCAGCTTCCTCATCATGCAGCGTCGATGTTAACGTGGTTTAGCGGCGCACCTCATTATAATGGATGAGTCAACTTTGTGCTATTGAAAGTGCAGAGTTAAGATTCAAATGTAAACAAAGAGGGTAATCAATTCACATTACAACCACACTTAATGCTAGGTTAGGTTGTCTAAAATACAATTTTATACAATAGATAACAACGTTATATCTCAACCATGGATGTCTGAAAACAGGCGACATCTTGAACTCTATGTCTCGATTCCTTTTTGGAATAAATTCAGCCAAGTGTGGAAACAATGCAGCCTACTTCAGCCTACTGCTCCGACTTAATAGAACTTCACAGGCAATAATAAGAAGACAAAACATATATTTTACTCTGTGTGGCAGTCGGGGCTGTGGGGAAACACCACCACAGATTACTTTTTCTTTTCTTCATGTGAGATCTACTTTGCCACCAGCTATTTACTGTTGTTATTTACTATATTGGTCCACAATTCAGTTTCTTTCTCACCAGCATTGGCAGCGGTTTGTGACCGAGGTCAGATTTCCATCAGTCTGTGAAGCAGTTATGGCAGAAAGCAAAGCGAGGTTTCACAAATGCAGTTATTTCGCACGTTTGTTTTTTTCTGAATGGTTGGAATTGAGAAGCAAAACCGGAGCGTCAATGAGCAATTGCACAACCCATCAAAGATATTTATTGGTCTGAATTATAGTTTATCATCTGACAGCTACAGTTTTACCAGTATATTATGGGGAAACACCAGCATTTGAAGTAATTATATTTAACTGTTGTTTTGAAGGAGACCTGCGGCAACGATTCCAGTGGAAGCTCTTGTGTGCAGTGGTGCAGAAACATTAATAAGAGCATAAGAGGGAGAGAATAAATTAGTCGCGCACACACACACACAGAGAGAGAGACAAAGAGACGAGGTGTGGCGGCTTCTGGAATAAACAAACCAAAAAGGCACATTTTGGTTTATCGCTGCCCAGCAGGGAAGAGAACAACACTCCAGAGAAGTGGTTTGGGTAAACACGTCAGGTCAAGCTGATAAACTTTATTTACCCATCAAAGACCATGTTATATGGAAGGATTTCATGTTTGCTTTGGTGATTGGCCTTTTCACCAACAGCACAGACAGACTGAGAAGCATCGCAGCAGAAACAGAATCCACACACACACACACAAATACACACACCCATCAGAACACACACACAAGACACATCTGGACTGCAGGCCGGCCAGGTCCTCAAACATTCAAATCTGTCCTTTGGCCTTCAGCTGATTCAGCAACCGTTCAACTAGATATCAAAATACAGACTGGAATAAAACATAATGTGATTGGGTTAGGTAATACAGGCTTTTACTGTAGTACTGTGATAAATTAGTAATACGGCCTTTTACTACAGTACTGTAATGAGTCAGCAACACAGTACTTCATTTTAGTACTGAAAGAGGTTGGTCAAACAGCCTTTAAATGTAGTACTGTAACTGGTCTGTAATATAACCTAAAAACTCTGGTACCATAATAGTTATATAATTACAGTAAATATGGTATTACTGTATAAAGTAAAGCTGCAGTAAAGCTGTGTATAACTGTGTTATAATAAGTTAGTAACACAACCTGATAAAGCAGCACTGTAACAGGTGAGAAACACAGCCCATCACTGTACACCATTAATGGCATGCTAATACAGTCTGTTACCTGCATTATAGTAATAGGTCAGTTACACAGCCTGTTACTGTATTAGAGTACTTTATATTGTTTACATATATATGAATATAACCTTAAGGAAAAAAATACTGTAAAGACCCCAGTGAGCAGATGTAACGTATTGTGCACGTTGGTCTTATATCTTTACTCACAGCACAGTTTCTCAGTGAATGGAGACAAGTGGGCTCTGTCAAAAACAAACAGCAGCGACCAAAGCAGACGTTAAAGAGCATTTTTGAACAAAGGGTCGAGTGGGACACAGACAGACGAAAGGGCAGATCAGAGATGTAGCCTTGCATCAGTATCAGACTAAAGTTGGGAAACCTGGGAGGTGAACCATTGGAGACAGGCAGCAGCTCCATACAGCAAATGGCACTCAGGAACCCCAGAAGACTCTCTGAGAGCACACACACACACACACACACACACACACACAGAGTTGAGCTAAGCAACAGGCACAGCCTATTAGTTTGGGAGAAACGGACAAAAACAAACAAGAAGATCCATCTCTATCCACCTGACACATTTCACTGTTCAAGGCTTTTTTTTCTTCCTTCTAAAAGGACCAAACGGATGATAAGGAAGCAGGCACATTAATTGGACTCTGCAAAAAAAATAATAACTGGAAATCAGTGAAGCAGAGCTCCTTGTGTTTCTAGAAGAGCTGCCAAATCCCCATTGAGCTGGACTTTGCACAGCCTTTGGGTCAGCTGACGGTACCTCCCCAAATCCACTAGGGGGCTCAGTCTCCTCCTGCTCCTCTCCACATCCTGCTGCCATTTTTCTCTGCACCTCTGCAGCCCCTCCACTGATGAGGACTCCGGGGCCTCATTAGAGCCCGAGTTCAAATTTTCCTCTTTCTGAGCAAAAAGCGATGACAGAGAGTCTCTGAGTGACCCCACCTCGAGCTCCAGAGTCTGAGGAAATATCTGAGCTGCACCATGACCTCCTGTGCTCCTGACAGGGTGGACAGTGCAGGACATTGGGAGGTGGGACATGAGACAGTCCAGGAACTTGAGCATCTGCACCTGGCTGGAAATGGACACCAGGGTCAGAATTGTCAGGTCAAATAAAAATTTCATCAGTTCATTCATTTATTCATTAAATTCCATTTTTATCATAAGAAGCTGTAACTATTTATATAATCATTGTTCTGTTTGAATCTACTCTGACAACAATATTGAAAGAAACTATTAACGTCACGTAAATTAGGTAAATTATAATGATAATATCATGATACAGCGATTCTGTGATAATCGATATGTTGCGTTAATTCCATCTAGGAAACATCTGCACAGTAAAAGGTCTGCATGTACAGGTATAACTGAAGCCTCTCTGTGTTTGCAATATATTTTAATTGTTTTTAACAACAAACCACGGTGTTGGGATTGTTTTGAAATGAAGGCGTCACTCACAGTTAGGTCAAAAGTCAGAAAAATACACAGACTGGAATAAGAACATGGAGTTAATACGGCTGTGTTTTTTCCCCGAGTATTTCTGAGCCTGTTTTTGTTCTCAGGCACAAACAGGAACACAGTGTTTCTTTCATTTCACTCGGCTGCAAAACATCAATAAACAATGAGTCAAAGAAATATCAATATCTTCTGTTAACCCTCAGGGACAAACAAAAACTTTGTTTTGATAAAAATGACTAAACATAAATAAAGAAAACTTTCAAATTCACAAAATGCATTTCCATCAGAGCCATTGTTACACTTTCTGAAAAAGCTGTAATTTGAAAATGGATCTAAATAGTTAAAATAAGGCAACATGACAAAGAAGAAACCTCATTGCTTTACTTACTGAATAATTATATTTTTATACATATTCTTAAAATGGAATCCTTAAAAGAGGTCAAACAAAACAGAAACAAAAGATCTAAAGTTAACCACTGGGTCACATGTTGTTTTGATTATTTGGGAACTGGGAATCACTGTCTTAAACCTTATTGAGATCAATAGTCAGCAGTTACTGTTGTCTGAGTCTCCCCTGGATCTGGACTGTAGGCCGGCCAGTGGTCAAATGTCAAGAGAGCCCATTACTGTGTTACATTAATGGGTCAGTAATACAGTATTTTTAGTATCAGTAATACTGCCTGTTACTGTAGTATAGACAAGTCAGTAATACTGCCTGGTACTGTGTTACAGTAAGAGGTCGGATCAACAGCCTGTTACGATATTACAGTTAAACATCATTAATACTGCCTGTTACTGTATTACAGTAACAGTTCACTAATCAAGGCTATTTCTTGTTTGTATGAATCAAAAAGGATTTACCTGGAGTGGACAGACAGTTCCCCGTTAAAAGGGTTTATCTGACGCCAGTGCAGCAGCATGACTGATGACTGAACTGAAGAATTGAACAGCAGATACTGAGGACTCACGTCCACCCTCCTACATCCTGCTTTTTTCTGAATCCAGCCGTCTATGTCACCTAAGCTCTGATCAGGAGAGTTGATGTGGAAGACCCATCGATCCAGCAGCGTCAACAAACACAGGAGGTCTTCTTCAATCTCCTCTGCACACACAAAAAGGTGGGAATACTGTCATGACAATACCTACGAACATCCCCACAATCAATGTTGTGTGAACATACCTGTTGTGAGGCTGGGGTTTTGCAGTAATTGGCTTTGGAAATGATTGTGGATGCCCACCGTGACTTCACCACACTGAAGGACAACTGGTGTCGAGGCGGTAATGAAAGAAAAAGCCTCTGGTCTCTGGACGTAATGGAGCATGACACGGCACTTGACACAGTCAGAGTTCAAGAGAGGAGCCAGTCTGGCCACAGCGGTCACAGCCATTCTGCATGTGCTGAGATCATTGGCTGTGCAGGCATCGTGTGGCTTTTTTCTTTTGGCTGCAGGCTCTAGTGATACAGAAGAGGAAGAGGAGGAGGAGGAGGAGGTGGAGGTAGAAGGGCCCGGTGTGGGGAGCAACAACACTTGGCTCGTGGTCTGGATGACTGCAGGCGTTGAGCTCTGGCCTGTCTCTGTCAGAATGGATAAACTCACGTTGGCCACTGGTCTGGAAGAAGAAATAACACATCACTAACAATCAGAGTAGAACTCAAATACAGAACAGGGCTGTGGTGTTTGAATGAATGAGTAACACCACTGCTCTCTCTTTTTGTACTGTTTCAGTATCAATCTTCATCCAAATATTGATTGTTTATCATCTTTTCTCAAGCCTTATTAGGAAGAACTAAAACCAACATTGTGCAGTTTTGTTAGGTCGTTGTGAACGCGGACTGTGCGAGTGTGGGTAGGTATCTGCCTTTCACCTCACTGGTCCACTTTGTGTGGTAGGAGCAACCAAGTGGTCGTTGGATCTAATTAGTTCTTGCTGCCTTCTCTGACAGAAGCAGCTAACAGCAGTGCATCCCCTCAACACCTGCATTAACAGGTTTGTCGGCGAGCGTGGTCTATTAACACCTGCTAAAATACACTCCAGAGCAGTGCTACAACAACACAGCTTCATAATGAGGAATATCAAGGTACACATTTTCTTTTTATCTGCTGATTAGAAATCCAAATCAAATGAAAGTCTTTCTGTCTCTTGGCTCTTGTTTTTTTTTTTATGTCCAATGTCTGTCACTGCAATCCTGAATCAGTTAGAAAACTACCACAATGTGCCACTAGAGACACTGGGTTCTTTAGGGACACAGGCTTTAAATGGGCCCCCGCAGTCATAATAAAGTAATTAATCTGAACAGAGACACTGTGATCAGTAACAAACTGTAGTCACTTAAACCTACCTAAACATATCAAAACAACTGTGCTGTAAAACAGCTATTGGCCTGCTTCAAAAATCATCAACAACATTCGCTCAGACAATAACAGAGTAAAAAGAAAACTTGTTTACACAGAGCTGTCAGTCATCAGCATCACTCCCACAACCACATGGTCCTCCATGATTCGATGCCACAGCTTGTCAATGTGAGGTAAGTTAGAGACTACAGGCATGTCCTCCATCTTTTCTTCTAAGTGCTCGACCTTTGACTCATCCCCAGAGTCCCACAGAGCAACAAGGTCTTCCTGGGCAGAGTAAAGCATTGATAGAATTGAAGTAAAATTGACATTAAAAAACTGCAGTGCGGTGTTGTTTTGTCGCCCGAAGCAGCATAAGCATTAGCAGTGAGGCCTCGTGATATGCTACTTTAAATATGACAAATCGACAAACAAGCGAGACGTGCGAATGAAATGTGTGTGTGTGTGTGCGTGGAGCGGGTGTCGGGTTTAAAAACAAATCAGCAAAACATAGAAATATATACATAAAGAAATATGTTGTTTGTTTGACCTCAAAGTCAGTTGTGTATTTTTGTTTTAGGGCTCTGGATGCAAAAGAGAGTAAAAGCACAAAACAGGCTACGTATGAATCACACTGTTGTTGTTATGTCGCAAAACTGAAAAAGAGACAAAAAAAAAAAGACTGTTTTCTGATATCAGTTATGCAGAATGGAAGGCAAGAGTTCATGATGGAAATAAAGGCCTGTTTGATCCACTCAACAAAGAAAGCGACAGTTTTACATTTGCATACAGTGCAGTACCTGCTCAGGTGGTGAGATAGCAGCTTTTCCTTCAGCCAAGGCTTCGACTGACTGCTGTAAAACTCTGTCTTTCACCTTCACTTCTCTCTGAAGCCCATGGAGAACAGTCAGTCCACTCTGGTAGGAAGAAATAATTCTTTAAAAAATAATAATAATAATATACAGAGCCAACGTGCAGAATTGGTTTGGAAAGGTTTAACAAACACCACCTGCAGGCCACTAATCATTGTATAAAAAAGTCCCATTATAATTTATTTTTAATGTATGGTACAAAAGGCAAACTAACAGTGATTCAAGGAAGGGGTTAAGAGTGAATTAGGTAACCCAAAATGACCCCTTATGCATATATTTTGAAAAGGTCGTTCACCTGGAGTCTAGACTCTAAGGCTTGAAGAGCAAGATGATTGCTGTCGGGTGGAAGAGAAGATCGCTGAGGTGATTCAGTGTCTTGTCCCGACTGAAAAACAAAATTAGAAGGATGCACCAAATCATAAAAGAACAATTTTATAGGCTGATAATAACCTTCTTTGGTCACATGTTACCTTTCACTACATGAGACAACTGACACATGTTCTGCTATTTGTGATCAAACAACCAGACTTAAAGCAATGCACAATAAACAGGTTCCAAGCAAATATAGTATAGTAGCTACAAAGGGGGTTTGTTATCAACATAAAGAACACATGTCAGAGATAAATCCTAGTAATCGGTAAAAGACACAGACATGTTAAAGTAAAATATATGTACATAAAATACATACACATATATTATGTATAAATATGTTAATTATGTAAATTAAATTTTGGTTTTGTATAGAAGTAAGACAAAATATGGCTTACAGAATATGAAATCCCGCAAAGATCAGTGATAAGGAAGCTCTCCAGAGGATGGCCTTCTTTATTGTTTTTAAAAATTAACATCTGATCTGTTCCACATCCCAGAAAGTCATCAACATGAACGGAGCTGACGCCTGACCACTGAGAGGCAATCTGTGAAAGACAGTTCACTTAAACATGGGTCTATTAAACACATAAATCAGAGAAAGTTTATAAAATAATCCACCTGTGTTACATACTTGAAATGTCTCCTTCCACAATGCACAAACATGCCCCTGGTGAAAGGACACAACAAACAGGCATCCATTCCTCCCAGTGTTTACCAACTGGATCTCTTCAGCTTTCTCAAAAGGCAGCGCACATACGTCTTTAACTGTCCCATTCAGGAAAAGGACGAGCTGCTGATAAGAAGTCGCTGCGACCACCGTGGATTTCAGGATGTTGTCCACTTTCTCAGCAGACAACACCAAGATACACTGCGTGATTGAAATGTAAGGGTGCGGTAACATTTGTGCACCATCAAACTCAAACTCTTGTCCATTTTGCACAATATAGGCCATGGTTTTGTTTGGGGTCTGAAAGTGTTTACTTTGTACACCGAGTACAAATATTTGTCCTTGACAAGAGTAGGGTTCTGCAACAACACTGTGGGACATCTTGGCAGGAATCTGCCTCACCTCACCTGCCTGAAGGCTCTTATAAAAGACATTTTCAGCGTGTCTCCATAACACAGTGGGACCCTGGAGGATGGACACGTCACCTTTTATCTCATAAGGAAGTTTAAACTCAAAGCAGAGCCTCGGTCTGTAGTCTGGGCTGCTCAGTGTGAACAGAGAGTACTTGAAATTCTCTCCTTTCACACTCCTGCGTGTCACCAAAACACACGCTGAAGAGACTCTCTTCCTAAAGTCTGCGGCACATTTACATTTCACAATGTCCAGGTGACAGGAGGACGTTTTTTTGCAGATGACAGCTGCACCATGCGCTGCCTTCAGCAACCTGCTGCTCTCCTTTTTGAATAAAAAGCAGCAGAACTCCAGCTCACCTTCGTTTGTGCCCGAGGCTTGTTTGCATTGAAAGGAGATTATTTTTCCACAGTGTGAAATGCGACTGCACTGAAAAGACGGGTCTTCTGAGTGCAGTCTCTCCATGATAAAGAGAGACGCACATTACTAGTTCCGACTTCTCAAACAGTGACAGCTAGAGCAAACGTTGAAGCGGAATTTCCACGTTCGTACATGACTTATATGACAAAACTGCCGCAAAAGTGCAAAAAGTGAATACCAGTCGCTGTAGGTGACAAACTTTTACTAGGTCGATTTACCAGTTTCAGCCACGCGCCACCAGAAAGTTAACACTTCCGGTTAGGTGCATTCTGGGTAAGATATGGTAAACAAAATGCGATTTGGCTATTTCAACAAAGAGTTTGAGAGTACTTTTTTAACAAATAGATCAAGACTATGCATAATGCATTCGATGGGGGAGAATATTGGATGAAAACAACTAGAATACGCAAACCCTTTCTTTTTATAGACTAAAGTTGAAATAAACAACAGAGCGGATAGGCGGGGCTAGGGTCGGAGCCAAAATGGCCCCTATAAGACGTCAGTTTCTCATTCGACTGTGATTCGTGTGAATGGTCTGTAAGCTAACTTGGCTACTAGTGCAACAAGGAACTGCCAGCAATCCGGGGAGAGTTGAAGATGGCTGAACTTGACCAACAGCAAGCGGAGCAGGTATATATAAAAACAAACCTTTCGTGTATTTTTTTATGTTTAGTTTACACTATTTCGAATGTGTCTGACGCGGAGGAACTCTCTTTTTGACAGGACCTCGAGAAGAAGATCGAGGAAACGAGACTGAGATTCAAGAATGAGTTCCTACAAGGTTAAAGTGTTGTAGTGGATAAAAGCTGAATTTGACTTTCTGATGTGACAGATTAACTGTCCACCGCGAACTGCGACTCGTAGTCCCGTTGAGCTTCATTAGTCCAGATAATTTCCATTAGATTATCAGATGTCCTAATCCATACAATATAAATATTTGACATATTGTGAGAAGTACAGCATGTGTGTTTTGTCGCTGTGGCCTGCGTGTTTTTTTGCAGCGCCTGACAAAAGCAGGGCAGTTATAGAAAGTGAAAGGCTTTGAATGTGAAGGTCATGTGAATCATACCTTTTTCTGATGATGCATCTCATGTTTACAGATTCAACAGATAAATACGATTCCAGAGACGTGGACAGGCTTCAAAAAGACGATGTTTTAGTTGAAGCCTACCTCACATGGAGGCTTTTTGTTGTCAATGATGCCTTGAAAATGATTGATGAAAGTCTGCAGTGGAGGAAAGAATTTGGTGTCAACGGTAAGAATTCAAAAAAGTAAAATAAAGTAAATGATCATTTGTCAGTTGTTTCCTCCAGGGGCAAAACTCCATAAATTGAGAAATTTGATACAATTAAACTGCATATTTACAGTAAAAAAGTAAAAAAAAAAATTAAACTTTTAATAAAACAGTATACTGTACATAGTATACATACAAATAACTGATAACAGTATACTCTACATAGTATACATACAAATAACTGATATCTAGGCTTAAATATAGCTTTAAATGAAATGATGCCAAAAATTGCAATGTGTAATAATACATGTGTAAAGCAATAGTACTTTTAAATGTTATGGATATCCATGTCCAAAGTTTGGAATACAACATCCTGCTTTAACCTAAACAGAAATGTTTACCTTTGTTTATTGAGTTGTTTGTAGACTCGCAGCACACAACACACATCAGTGCGATTGTGCTGCTGCTGCTGTGAGTTGAGTCCAGACAGATGGTCATTGTGTGTTGAACAGCCATGTCTGTATGCACTGACTGAGCCTTAAAACAATCCTCTCTGTTTTTGGTTGTCACTAGAATTAGTCCTGACTTTTAAGAAATAATTTGCATTCATTGAGAAAAATAAAATTTACTTCAAAGCTTTATTATAATATATTTGATTTAATTTTTACAATGCTATCTTTATGTGTTTGAATGACCATTCTTCTAGAATGTAAAATAGCCTAAGTGAAGTGAAATTTGGTTTTAGTCAAATTTAAAGAACAAAGTGAATGATTGTAATGATGTTTTTCTTTTATTTTCCCTCAGATCTTGCCGAGAGCTCCATACCCAGATGGATGTTTGAGACCGGTGCTGTTTTCCTCCATGGCTACGACAAAGAAGGCAACAAGCTCTGTACGTAAATACTTCCATACACACCTACTGTACTTCACACTCTACTGATATGAACTGATTTATCTGTTTAACCAGCAGTTTGGTCTATTCATTGTGTTGAAATATAACCAGACATACACACATCATCAATGAGGTTGTCCTTATTAACAGTCAGATCAATGTTGTTTAAAACTTTGCTTCTATTTCTTTGTGTGTTTAGTTTGGTTTAGAGTCAAGCTACACATTAAAGATGCTAAAACAATCGTGGACAAGAAGAAGTATGTGGCCTTCTGGTTGGAGCGCTATGCAAAGAAGGAGCCTGGCATGCCTCTGACCGTTGTGTTTGACATGTCCGAGTCTGGACTCAGCAATATAGTAAGTCAGTTATTCTGGGTTTGAAGAGTTTTAATAATTTCTGTTAAGACATTACATAAAGCATCTAACACTACGAGTTGAGTCCACTGAGACAAATGTGTTTTATGTATTTAGGCTATGAAAATAAAATTATTAGTAGTAGTATTTATACATTGACATTACATCAGTATCTTTAAAATGTAAAAATTCTGACCATTACATATTTTGTGGCTTCAGTGTACTGTACTGACTGTACTTCAGTGTTCTGTGTTGGAAGGCTGTTCGGTGTCCTCATATGTCTTTCAGTTTGAACTGTGCTCTTTTAGGGACTGACATACCTCAATGGTTTTACACTTAAGAGATTAACCTAGCCTCTTAATCCTGTTGGTCAGTTGGATCGGGCCGTCTAATCCGCAGATTTCTTGTGTCACTGGCATTAGCCGTGTGATGTTCTGTCCCATCAGTGAAAGTATTTCTGGCCAAAATGGCTGTGTTTATGTGTGAATACAGTGATGGGAAGCTTCACCAATCCATATCTGAAATTAGTAGATTAGCAGATTGGAATTTTTAAGCATCTGTCGAGAGGCCTGTTGAACCACAGTAGGAGCTGCAGTATAAAGGAGCTCTCAGTGTGATCTCATTACAGCTCAAGGCTGAGGCTCCTGCATAGCAATGAGGCTTTTTGTCAGTGATGGAAGCAACTGTGGATATAGGGAGTGTTTTCTGTGGATGTGATGATTGTGGGTCTGATGACCATACCTAACATAAGGAAAAAGGGATGAAAACTATCACCAATTGTAGTAATTATCGCAGGGTGGCTTTGTATTTTTTGCGATTAATCATCAGTGTAACAAAAGAAATCTGTAAAAACGAGAAAACAAATATCTGTAAGTACTTGAATGTGTTTAACACCTGTTTTTATTTGGGACTAAACAGAATGATCGAGTTATTTAGATAGAAAAATAAGAACGCTATTACTCAAAACTTAGTTTCTTCAAGACAGTGAAGCCTTTGTCTTCAAAAACTTAACAACTCCTTAGGCTGGTGTGATGCAAGCTAGGGGTCTGACCTTAGGAGCAGCTCCCACAAATGCACACTTGACTGTGATATGCTATTTTAAGCTTGAGGTGTTTTGGTGAAATATTCAAATATGCTATGCATTTTATTCTCCCTATTTATTAAATGGGTTAAAATGTAACTTTTTTATCTTGGTTAATGCCTTTAATTTGACTGTAAAAAAAAAAGCAGAACCTCTGACCTGAATATGTAATGTGTAAATGTATTTTTATTATCTTTGCGGCATGATTAGATTTTCTCTCCTTATCAGGGATCTCGATTATTCTGCTTTGATCAGCAGCCAGCTGTTACTATGGTAAAGGAAGTTAGGGGTTTATAAATCCTCTCAGTTCACATGTATTTCCAGAAAGGTTGTTATCCTGGAGATTAAAGTCGTTTGAATCAGATTGTTTAACAGAGGTCATTAAAGGCAGCATTCAATTCCATTTCAATTCTTAAATCTTCTCTTTTCTTGATGTAAGAATGTTTTAATTGATGAGCTGTTTGAATGTGACAATTTTTTTTTTTAAATGAATAAAGTTGCTACAGTGTAAAGGTAATGATTTCTGACATTTCTATATTTTCACATCTATTTTTTCTTTCTTTATTCTAGGACATGGAGTTTGTAAGATATATCATAAGCTGCTTCCAAGTTTACTATCCAAAGTTTTTGTGTAAGTATTTACGTCCTAAAAGCACAACAGATGAACCTTTATGCAACTAAACTAAGTTTGGCAATTTTGCCAGTTTAACCAATTAAATGTTTTAGTCTTTGTTCATTCTCATTCCAGCCAAAATGATCATGGTGGACATGCCTTGGATCATGAATGGTAGGACTGAGCTTGTCTCCTCCATATTTTAACTTAGAGTCGTAAAAGGCTGGTGGTCTTGACTGTCAATCATGATTTTTGCAGCTGCCTGGAAAATTGTGAAGTCATGGTTGTCCCCGGAGGCCATCAACAAACTGAAGTTTGTGTCTAAGACTGAACTCCTGGGGTTCATCGATGCCGAGTATCTGCCAGCTCACATGGGTGGAGTGGTACGTCCTCATATCCTTTCCTTCAGTCATTGACGTTTGTCAAGGTTTCAATGATTTTACTAACAAATCCCAGCCAGATTTAGCTCTTCCACAGATACGTTACCAATACTGCTAACCAAATAAAATTTTGTTTTCCATTTTTTTGCACTGCAGGACTCCTTTAAATACAGCTACCCACCTCTTCCTGATGATGACTTCCAAACCCCCATCTGTGAAAACGGGCCTATTGTCAGTGAAGATGACACGGAGAGTAAAGAGAGTGAGATGGAGAGCAAAGAAGCCCTGGAGTCCAGTTTCAGCTCTGAGGTTGCAGTGAAGCCCAAGAAGGTAAAAGTTTCATTTCTTTTCTCTATCGTTGCATCAGGCCCCGTTCATTACTAACTTTTTCAGTTAGTTACAATCATTAAAGGAAAAATACTTCAATAACAGAACACACTTGACTGATTGAATTGGAATGTTGTGCCTTTTACTCCTTCCTGTCCTCACTGCATCCGGGTCACGTTGGGACGCCCGACAAAAGGAGATTTCTCCTGACTCTCATCTTGTTTCTTTAAAATTGAGCTTGTGATAACACTGTGTAATCGGTCCCCGGTGGAGAAACGCTGCCCTGGTTTGATAAGCATTAAGCTTTTTGCTTATTGTCTCTGTGAAGGTGACTCCAAATGTCATTGGTTGCAATTAACATCCTGCCAACAGAGTCCACGCAGCACAGCCACCACAGTGTCACTCTTCTCTTCTGTGGCCCCTATATGATCCACATACTGTATCTTGTCAAATCTTTTACTTCAGTCGCTGTGTGCTGCCTCAGACATAGCTGCTGGTGTAGCGCCGTCGCTGAGACACCAGCGAGATTCAGATTCCCAGCACCCACTGCCCTGCGCTCGCTCTGATGTGTCCCTGAATTTCACCAGCTTTGCAGCAACACTGCCACTTAAAGCAAAGATCTTACAGACTAGTCCTCGCTTCATATTCCTTTTTTTTACTATTTGCATAGAAACAGTTGGTAATAAAAAAAAAGAGTCCATATTGTTTTTCCAGAGTCACATCACAGTAAGAGTCCAGTAAATCTGGAATAAACACATGTTATGTGAGGTCTTGTACATTTCTGTCTCATGCTGGAGAGACTTAGCAGTGTTACATCATCTCTCTGGAGCCTCCTGAGCACCGACAAACAACCAGTGCTCCTATTGTTAACAAGCAGCGTATTAGTCATGCACAACAGATTTAAACGTACAAAGGAGGAATGCGCGAGTTGGAAAATTTTTAGCCCAACAATACGGACAAAGAAAAAAAGCCTCTCACTGTGAGATGTAAGCAGAGACTCGCTTCACCACAGTGTGGGTGGACTTGCCCTGAATAGCCCCAGAGAAAAGGTGTGCAGCTTCACATCTGAGAAAAGGAATTAATTTCATCTCCAGCCACTAAACCTTTGTATCAGTGCAGTTCCCTGAGGTGTCGGGCTACGTATCAAAACGTCTGAGTCAGCTCGGCGAAGGAGGAAGAGTTTCTCTGGTCATGAGAAGCTCCAGTTGCCATAAATCCCTGCAGTGAATGTGCACATGTTGTTTAGTGAAGCAAAATTAACTCTAAGCATTTGTAAAATTAGGCCAGAAAATGATTAGGTTTTGAGGTTGGTTTTTTGATGCATTTGACATTTGTGCAGAAAAGTGCTGTTAAAGAAATCGTTTTTCTTTGGAAGGAGAAAAATGTACACAGAAGCATATATGACGTTCACGTATCAGACATCAAAGATACATCTACACCTGGCCTTCATCATTGATGCTGATGATTCCTTAGACTTTGACCAGACTGAACGATCTCTGCAGTTTTTTCTTTGTTTTGTACCATAGTTTTAACCAAAAATAAGTCCAAACAAGACAATATTTTACCACAAAAAATGTTTCTGTTGTTTTGGAGTGAGAACTCAACACATAAACAATATGGAGCAACATTTGGAATGAAAACATAAATAATATAAGTAAAAAAGTATGTTTCAAAAGAGAATTTTTTGGTGGTTTCTCATCTTATTCCAAGCCTAAGGCAGTTCATCTGTGGCCATAAGGTCATGCACATTCAGCAGTGGTTTCTGCTGCTAGCCTTAAACCACAGATATTAACTATAAATAATGACAGACCTCAATTATTTACCTCCTTGTGATGAGACGGACCGTTCTCATCTCTACCTGCATAGCACAAGCCTTTGGTTGATGCTAATGTTCAGTTGTGTCTTAAACAGTTTCCCAGTCCACATTTCATTAGTCCTTTTGTCTGATTAAAAAAAAGTTCAAGTCACTTCTCGAACAATAGACGGTAGTTGATATAATACACATCAAGTTGTTTTGAAAACTTTTGCATTTTGTGTAACTGTTGTCTGAAATACAGTGATATGGAGAAACTGTGCAAACTTTATGCCTATACAAACTTGTGTAAAACTCAGAGTTCTGCCTCTGATCCGACCCATGTTCTCTGAGAGACAACAGACTCCCCGCCGCCGTCGCCGCCGCCGCCGCTCATCTCCGCCTGAATTCGTCTGGATTCCAGGCAGCGCTGAGCTGAAAATGTGATGGCTCCTGAAAGCTAATTGCCTTTCTCTCTGTTTTGAAACAAGGGCTGGAGGTGTTGAGGCAGTGTAGGATCTCACCCACACAAGGATCTGTGTGTCTGGAAGATTTCTTCTGCAGGCTGAAAAGGAAGGTGCACTCACTGCTCTAAAACTTTTATTTGTGAGTGCACCTCCCTCACAGTCGACGGACGAGCTTCACCAGCCCTTTGACATTTCTCATTCCGTGACGTGGATTCACACATTTTTAAGTTTTACCCTCGAGAGCGACTCACTTTTAACGACGACTCCAAAATTCCAGTTACTGAGCTAACTGATAGAAGTAGACTCCTTTTTTTGCTTGTTGATCCAAATGACTGAAACACTTCCATTATTGTCCCAGCTGAGAGACATCACCGCTGCTGCTCATTAACATTTTATAATTGTCTTCTAACCTCTCATTATGAGATTTTTAACCTCTTATTATAAGAACCAAAGTAATTACTGTAGTATTACAGTAGGCCTAAGCACTAAACCATACCTGCCCCTGAGGCATGTATTTTAACAGAAGCCCTTTGTGCCTTTTCTACTAACATTGTTCTTTGTGCCCTTTTTTTGAGTAACTATAACATTCTCAAGATTTCACTTAATTCTTTACATTGTAATGAGTTTGGTTTTTGTTTTGTCCTTGCATTTCACATTTTACACAATGTGTAGAAATCAGTTAGTGTTCACTAATCAAAGTTTACAATTTTCACTTGTATTTTATTATGTCCTCATTAATTTCATGTACCCGATTGTGTTTTTTTGTTTTTGTTAATCCATAATGGAATCATGTGGAAATTTTGTAGCAACGTAGATCCAATGATGGTATTATTCAAACATTTCTTTTAATTTTTTTTAATCCTTATATTTCACTTCATTTAATTATTTTACTCACATTGTTGCCTTAATTGTTTTTAATTTTGCTCTTATCAATGAAAGAAATAAATAGACATTAATTCGAAGTCTGTTTTCTCTTTACAACTTTATTGTGGCCGTTACATAACACTGAGCTGCCCCGGCCCTCCTCTCTTTCTCACCCCTGTCCCAGTCATAAAGGCTGCCCTTCCATATAAAGTCCATGCATTTTGCTCTGTTCTGACCTTCAACCACCGCCTCTAATATGTACTTGGCCCCCGGCCACACTGAAAGCATCCATTTCCTCATGTTTATCCAATCACGTCCAAGGTTTTCACACATTTCTCAATATCTGGTCTCTCATAAGACATGTGACTCTGTTGTCTTTTGATGATTTGGGCCAAAGTTTTGGAAGTCGTGCTGATGACAGGGTTTCATCATGACTTTTGTCCCAGTTGAGCGACTTACTATTGCGATTTTCACCTCGAGGGTCACAAGTTTACTGTTTTCTTTTGTTCAGCATTCTCAAGAGGACACGCTGTCTCTTTTAAAGAGTAATCATGTGGCGTTTTGCAGACCACTCCACAGGCGAAGGAAGATCTCGTTTCCTGTAACGTTTAATCATTCCATCAGATAAACCACTCATTAATCACTGCCGATGACGGGGGAAACCTCATTAAATGATAGCCTTCTCTTTATTAGGGGCAAGGGTCGAGTGTTTTCACCGAAGCACTTAGATAAAGGTCATGTGATGACACTGTTGGTATTCAGAGAGGCCGCTTCTAATGTAGCAGCCTTTGTCGTTTCAGGTCAATTTCCTGGAAGATGGTTTGAAGGCAGAGGAGAATGACAAAGGAGACATGAGCGCTAGGACTAAAGGAGCCAAGAAACCACTGACCACCTTTAAGGGCTCCTTGTTGGATGTGAGGTAGGTCACCCTGCCCACATCTCTGCGTGTTGTCATGTACACATCTGCATTCACCTGAAATGTCCTTGAAAGTGGGAAAATGAGGGTCACTCAACGTCAAAACTTTCAGTTCAACCAAACTATTTTCTCTACGTATATTAGCTCTAAGCACTTCTTCTGGGGAATGTCTTTTCCATCCGGTCACGACCTGCCTCTTATCTTTGGACTGAAATTGAGTTTCTTGGTTCATTTCATTTTCCTTTTCCTTTATTTAACCAGATAAAACCCCAGTGAGATTAAGATCTCCTTCAGGAGGTCAAGAGGTCAGCAGCAAATGGCCTGACAACTAACAATCTGTCCATTATCTACCTCCTATTCCTTAGATGATCATAAATAGTTCACAATATCAGTGAGAATATGTTGCTGTTTCACAAAGTAATGAAGATATTATATCAAACAATCACATGAGTCAGAGCTCCGGTGATTTTCACAGGTTTCCAATCGAGTTTGATCAAAACATTCTGACAAACGTATTACTGTAACTGTTGAGGAACATATAAACATACATGTACAAACTGTATGATAACATTATACAACAGCTGTCAGAGAACTTTTTGACTGTGTATGCCCACATGTTGAACGCTTGTTACCCAGAGGAATTAAACAGCTCATAAATGAACCACAAATGTTACCACCTCAAAGTACCAAAATGTACCTGCGTAACATCAGCAGAATACCAGTCCAAAAATGCTTGACTTAATTAAAGACAATAGAGATACCAGGAGGACAAAGATGTCACAAAACTGTAAATAAACAAACAAATATTGTTTATTTACAGTAGGAACCTGAGTTTACACCAGAGGCAGCGTTTCAGGAAAAAAAAACCCAAAGGAAATCCCATGAACATTCCGGCAGTTTTTTTTGTGTGTAGCTGACACCAAAGAGCTTGCTCCGGTCCTGCCCTGCCTCTGACTTCACTCTGACTAACTGTACAGTAAATGAACACAAGTTTAAAAACATGGAAGGCCTGTGTACATGGGAACATTTTTAATTGCCTTGTACACATTGATTAGAATGTCCTTACCGTGTACAGGCTTAAAGCCCAAAGTCAGTATTGATGTGTTTGTCCCTTTATAGCTGGATCGATCCAGTCACACGTGGACAATAATTGAGGATGCCTCCGATCAATTGTTCATTAGGTAGAAATGAGCTGCTGGTGTTCGTTTTTAATGGCTGCCCAGCAGAACCGCACAGTGATCAACATCAACACCAGTGTAAATGTACTGCAGTATCAGTACTGTATATACTTAGACACAGCGTGCGGTTCCTCTGCATTTTAATGAATAAAGTCCAATGTCTGAACGGCGTTCAGGCTTTGATGTAAGGATTCTGACACTTCTGGGCTGTGAACAGTACCGATAAACAGATTTAAATGAGCCTTAAATGCAGTTATGTCTCCGAGCTGCGTTGGCCTTAATACCAGACTGGGGGCTTTAAAGGGAGTGGGGGTGGGGGGGACTTTGATGTTGTGGTTGCCAGAGGTTTCCAGAGCCAAGAAATTGTCACTGAGCTCCAGTCAGAGCTTTGACTGCACAGCTCTTAAGCAGGAGAAAGAAGACATAAGGACAAGGGGGAAGAAAAAACTCAGTCTTTGTTTATCCATGAAGTGTAACGAAAGTGCACAACAAAAGCTTTGAAATGTACAAGGCAGTTAGTGTAAGTCTACGGTGTTTACTAAAACAGAATGCATTAAATCGCACATTATTCATACCCCAAGATAATCAGAATGAATACACTTCAACAACAAACCGCAAAACAAGGTCTTTGAAAATCTAATAATCCGTGTTTATTGTTTTGATATTCTTTAATAATAGTGGCTGTTATTTCCTGATTAATCTATTGTAGATAAAACTCCTAGCCTTAGCTCACAGTCACTGATCATTACTGAACTATGATGGGACTGTGAGCACTGGACAAACAAAAAAATGGACCTCCTTTAGCATGTATTTGTTGGTCTGGTCACTTATTGTGACTTATTAGAACATGTAACATTTCCTACTTACACTTTATTCATTGAATAACATAATAAAAGAATTCCCATTCAACATTTAAATTTAAAAAGACAAAAGTAAAGAGGAGACCCTTCATTGTTGCTAACTAGCATTAGCCGCCTGGTAGCAAGCTTTAGCCGCGCACTAAGTGCCTTGTTGTCTTTGACCTGGGAATAGCACATCTAAATAGTGTCCACTGTGTCTCCTAAAAGATCAATAAATAAAACTGCAGAGACTTGCACTCAGGTGTAAATTGTAAATTATTGTACATATGATGAATCGCTGGCTGTAAAACAAGTTGCTAACAGCTAGCGTGCCAGCAGGAAGAAGCCTTATAAAGAGGAACATCATTTAAATATTGCACTGAATTTTGTAAACTGGGACAACTAATGGGGGCTTAGTGTTCAGTTTACGTTAACTGATTTAGTCCTAATTTAACTTTTATTTGCATGATAGCGCACAGACTGTTACTGCTACTACACACACACACACACACACACACAAGTTTGTTCGTCTTGCCAGTGGTTGTTTAAACAAACATTTGCTCCAAAAGAGAGGTTTTTTTTAAAATATCCTGTTAAACAGGTTTTTTTTAAATCATGTCTCTATCAGATGAGTTATTTTTCAATCTTCTCTTCATATAGACAAGAATCAGTGAATACAAATAAAGTTTTTTTCCATCTTCTGTGACAGAATGGGTGAATGTTCATTTAAACAAAGCCAACGCTAAAACTGTTAAATTCCATTTTAGTCCCTAGCTGAGCCGATGTGTTTAACTACAGCCTTAGGTCAATAAGCAATGTGTTCAGCAGTAATCTGCTAACCACAGTGCTCGACTGTATGTTGACTCTGCTGAGAGCCATCAACAAGGCTCTGATCATTAAAACACCTCAATGTCTTTGGGTTTTAAAAGTTTGCCATACTTTCTCTTTCATTTAAAATGCAGAAGAAAAAAACTGCTAAATAATTTAATTTCATCTTCTGAGCCACCACCTAGATAATTAGACCTCGTCGTGGATCTGTGCAAACACGGCTAAAAGACGAGCGTTTCAGCTGCAGATGCTACAAATTCTGAATAACAGCCTCTGGCTGTGACTTTGCTGAGTTCAGGTGATGTTCAGAAGGAAAAGCAACAGGCCACAGCAGGTCCATTTATATGTAATAAGTAATGTGTAAAACAAACTGCCAAGAGTGGAAATTGAGAAGTGGAAACACTCGTGTGCATCATGAACTCGTATCTGTCCCAGATTGACTCTCAAACTGGAAATTTCAATAACATATTCAAGGACTGCCCCAACGTTGTTGTTTTTATTTTTCCTTCACGCAGCCCTGCAGAGGAGCTCCGCTTTGGCTCCGGAGAGAACGAGAAGAAGTGTCTCATCATTCTGAGCAATGTGACCAAAAATAAAGTGGCCTTTAAGGTAAGTCGACTGGACGATGGCTGAACTAATTAGCCACAATTTGACCTGAATGTATCATTATTATATTCTTAAATCAGGTTTACTAGTTGGTGAGTGGATCCATCTTTGTTCATTTTGTATTATACCTCAAACTTTTGTCATTTTTTTTAGCTGTACCACAAAGGGAAATTATTTCTTTGCATTCAACCTATTGCAAAAACACTGTGATTCACATGAGGCTGGGTTTCAAACCGGTCATCCTCTAACCCTACTGGTCATCAGAGGATCCACCAGACCACAGGCTGTTCTCGTGGTCATGATTTTGTTTGTGCTTCAGACCAGTTTGACTCATGAAATTACCAATGTTGTGGTGATCATGAACCTAATGTGTCCCACAGGTGCGGACCACAGCACCAGAGAAGTACAGGGTGAAGCCCAGTAGCAGCTGCTGTGAACCAGGAGCTCCGGTAGAAATTGTGGTGTCTCTTCATGGAGGTACTTGACTTTGACTTTTAATGAACTCATATTATCCCGTCCGTTGGCATCCAAAACAGGGACGACCAAAAGATCCATCGATCGGAATCGACCAGTGGATCACAAATGTAGTACAGATAGATCAATTCAAGGTAGTACTTTGGTAGTGTAAGGTAGAAGGTAGTACTTTGAGTAGAATCTTTAGGAACCTGGGTTTTTGAAGCAGTAAAATTTAGGCTGAAGGTTATTTTGTGTTTCACATTTCTCTGAAGAATCCGCACCTCTCTCCTGAGGGGTTCTATTTGTAACTTTTATGCTGTGCTGTGTCTTTTTAACACACACTCTTTTTCTTCTATCAGTTGCCTTGGGTTTGTTTTTGGTTTTAAAAACACTTTTTGTTTTCATATTCCTTAGAAAAAGAAACTTTATCTTTTCTCTTTATGTGCTGTTTTTAAAACAACCCCTTTAAAAAAAGAGAGACTGTTTCTGTCAAAATGCTGTGTCTGAATGTTGATGGTTTCGTGCAGGATCTCAGGCCTCGCCACAGGACAGGTTTTTAGTCATGGCTGCAGAGATGGAGAACCCTGGATCAACACAGGAACTGGCACAGTTCTGGAAAGAAGTACCGAAAGCCAAGATCATGGAACACAGGTACAAATACTGCAACCATACCAAGTTTTTTAGTGAACTTAGAAATTTAAAGACGTTTCATGTTCCCCACAGGTTGCGTTGCCATGTTCTACAGAGCGTTAAAACCACAGTGAGTCCTCTCAGGGACAGCCTTATAGAATCGGGGAGCAGCGGTCAGCTGGACTTGGAGACCATGGTGAGAAACAGATATTTTCTGTCATGTTTGATTGAAGCCGCTGCAGCCGTTTCCGTCGGTCTCCAGTTTTTATGCAAAGCTAAACTGCCTGCCCTCCGGCTTACTCGTTTAAGTGACTCATTTGCCTAAATCCCAAGCTGGATCCTAATTTTGGGTGTTTGTTTATCTAAGTCTTCCCTGTGACATCATTTGCCTGACCGTTTCCTGTTTGTTTGCCTTTCTTTCTCAACCAGATTAGACAAATGATGGCCTGCAACTCGAGGCTGGAGCAGAGGCTGAACTCGTCTCTGTGGCTGCAGAAGGTTCTCACCGCCCTGGTGCTGGTCCTCATGACCCTCAACCTGTTGTGTGTCTACCTGGTGTACTCAGCTCAGCGGACTTGTTGACCCGCCGTCGCTCACCCCCCGCCTGCATCGGTCGACCCCAGGCAAGCAGATGCCTCCCTGTGACGCCTCAGCCGACCACAAGAGGGATGGCGGCCATGCTCACCATCCTGCCCCGCCCTGTCCTCCCCCAGGAGGCTGCCCTCGCTGACATTAGGGACGCGTCAGTGTTTGTAGAGTTTTATATGAAGGGATTGTATTTATCTCTGTACAAGCGCTCGAAGGATTCTGTACCAGAGACTCTTTTATCACTGTACAGCAGAGACCTGTATTTATTGCAACATTCAGGAACAAGTAGTTATTTTTGTGATCAACATGTGCAATTTTTTTAATATAATATAAATCTACCAAATATTAAATAAACATTTCTTACATTATTTGCTGTATTTTTCTTTCTCCCGGTGCGGTAAAGACTAGTTATTACTAGTAATTGTTATCCAAACACCGTCTCCAACTTCAGACGTAGCTGTTACTTGTCATGCATTTGCACTCTTAATTAACCCTCATTAGTACAGCGGTGTCTAATCAAAAACGCAGACGTCATACGCGACCCGACTGAAGTTCAGGTCAAGAAGCCTCATGAGATTCTCCGTCTCCAACATCTTCTCCAACTGTTTTAATTACTCTGATTCTCGTAAACTAAAAATACCAAAGCAATTACTGCTGAGTACAGAGAGATGCCACGGCCCACTTGTAGCTTAGTGGGAGCGGCGGTATCTATAACAAGATCCAGACTCACAGCAATCAAGGCTGGAGCGGCCACACAAGGAAAGATTAGAAGTTTTCCTGATGGAGGTGTGCACGGAGGGGTTAGCCTGAGACGGGAACATCGGCAGCTTGTTTATCAGTGCGATGTTTCAAAGTCGAACGATCACAGAAAGATTCCTAATGGTGGAGGTTCTCTGTTAGAAATTAGAATTGAATGAAAAAGTACAGATATAGTAGAATATGCCATAAGTATGTCATAGGATATAAGTTATATGATATAAGATAAGAGATAAGATATCACATATCACATGCATATAAGTGAGGACACCCCGTCCTTGTGCCAGGTGTTAAATAAAGGTCAAATAATAAATAACAAACGTTCACACAAGTGCTTCGTATAAACACTCAGGCATTTACAGCATTTAGCTGGTGAGTGTTGAACTGTGTGAAAACAGTATGGGGGGCTAATGGAGCGCTTCCCTCCAGAGAGTCGAGTAAAAGCTCACTGGTATCGCACATTAGTGGATGCGTCGCAGAGCAACACCAACCCCCGGCTGAACCCTTCACCGCCACTCAACGGAGCCGAGGCAGAACGCCACCATCAGGCTGAGCTAGTAGGAAACAGTTTGAGCCGTCACGTGAGTTGTCATTTCCTGACACACTTGTCTTTCGGTCCATTGTCTGCCAGTCACTAATTACATCCAGAGCGTCTTCTTCCTTCTTCCAGTTCAAATCTCCTCCTCTCTATTGATTTAACAATACAAACCAGTGGCAATCGAAGCACAGCTCGATGTGGCGGCCGCCCCTCCGGCCCTCGTGCAGAGTTCGAGGGGACAGTGATTTAGTTGGAGTGGCAAATTGGGTCGGGGGGTCGGATCGATGGAGAGGTAATAAGTGGTGCGTTTAATAAGGTGCGTGTGAGCTCAAGTGGGCAACTGGTTGACATTGGAGGACGAGTTAAGTCAAATGAATTGTATCTGTACAGACCATGTTTACAAAAAAATTGGAAAATATAAAATGAACTTAAAATTAAGAATGTATTGAGTGAATATCATATTTTATTTTGTATTAACAGGCTAAAGTAGAGCATGATGTGTTCTACATTTGTTAATTAACACCAAAAGAGCTGCGGTCTCTTTTAACAGGAAGTAGTCCCCGGCGGATCCAGACTCAGAGTGTGCAGCAGTGCTTCAGCCCGGATGCTGTGGTTCACAGTGAATTGTCTGACAGTGATATTCTCTTCTCTTTTCTTGAATTGAGTCACAACGGCAGCAGAGCATTAACAGTACCGGAATCAACACAGCTCGGAATTCAACGGTACCTTTGATTAACATTAGTTACTGGTAACTGGTACTGGTAACATTGTGCCCAATATTACCTTATTGGGCCAAATATTTGGTTCTCAAACTATGGTTAATGTACAGTACCTTTGATTAACATAAGTTACTGGTAACTGGTAACTGGTAACATTGTGCCCAATATTGCCTTATTGGGCCAAATCTTTGGTTCTCAAACTATGGTTAATGTACCAGTGATGATACTTGGGCTCCCTCTAGTGGTTCGTGGGCGAATTAGATTCTTATAGTCTAATTTTGTTCTTCTTATGTACTTAGTCCAAGCTTGTGCAACTGTACCTAAATATACAATTGGTACTAAGAGAGGTCGGGGTGTGTGCAAAAACAAATATTTTTGAAGTACTAGTAGTTTATTTTTGTCAAAAAATAAAAGTTACAATAGAATTTAAAGGACAATCCCTGAAATAAAACAAGGTTTTCTTTGTTTTGTTTTTTCTCTCTTACAATAGAATTTAAAGGACAAGCCCTGAAATAAAGGTTTTCTTTGTTTTGTTTTTTCTCTAATCTGAACAGATGAGTCTAAACAGACTCTGTCGTCAGCAGCAGAACATTCACCTCCTCCTCACTTTTTCAGAGGTGACAAAACTGCGTGGAAATGAGAAGCTAACGAGCGCCTGATCCTCTTTTTCACACATCTGCATCTGTGAAGCTTCACGTGTTCTAGTTTTCATTTCCACTTGAATCCTGTGTTCCTCGTTCTTATTATTTCATTTTCCTTTGTTGTGCTTGATTTTAAAAATATACTGCAGACTCTGGGGAAGCCACGAGATTTTTCTTATTTATTTATTTATTTTGTCTTGCTGCGTATCTTGTTATATCCTGTGCACGACCACAAACACAATGAACTCTTTTTTGTTTTGTTGTACTGCTGTATTTCAAAAGGCACAGTGTTCACATAATGTTCTTGAGGTAAAATTAGAAGCAGACTGATTAGGACTGCTATTGCTTATCCCACCTTAAAAAGAGGAAAAAAACATGAACTGAAAGAGAACAAAAGGAGAAGTTCAAGTTTTGTCTTTTCAGCAGCTGGAACTCTGTGTCTGCACAAAATGCTGCATCACAGATTTTGGTTGTCTGGTCACAGGTTTTATAAAAGTATAAAAATGCAACTATGTTGTAGTGAAATATATATATATGTATATATTTACAGCATTATCCACAGAAAAACTGTGCAATACTTTTTACCCACTGCATTAATTATCTCTTTATCCTATTCACGATTAAATCTTGTCCAAAAAAAAAAAAAAAAATCACAAAGTAGAATCACCCTCAACTGTGAAGAGGTTAGTACAAGTACAAGTCTGCCCCCTGGGGGTGTCAAAGTGAATTGCTAAACGTTCTTCCGTGCGTCTCATCTCCCCAGGGCTGTGATTGGTAGAGGAGATACACTTGCAGTTCTGTGGGCAGATGAAGGTCATATATTCCAGCCAGCCTTTGTTTGCCCACAGCCTTCCTGACGCTCAGTCTGCACAGCTGCATCAGGGGTGACACTCCTGGGGCAAGTGTCAGAGGAGCAGCGGGGAGCCGTGACAGAGAGATGTTTGGATTGTTAGCCACTGGCACCGGCCCAATACAAAGATGATGCTGTTATTTTTTTCACTGAATACCTCCTGCTTGTCTGAGGAGCTTCTCTGCCAGGCTGTGAGGAGGTGCCAGATCCAGTGGCTTCTTGCCCTCCTGGTTTCTGAGGGAGCGATCTGCCCCGTGGTCGAGCAGGAGAGACAGCAGCTCTGGGTTGGACAGACGTGCAGCAATGTGCAGAGGCAATTCTCCAGACACACTGTGGTTCACGCTTGCACCTGAAGGAGAGAAAGGACCAAAGAGGCGTGACGTCCTCACATCACCTAAGTGCTGAACATCGCAACTTAGCATTTGAGAAGTGGTTACAATAAAATGTGATGCTAAAAAGTTAGGTACGATATTTGGCACTTTTGAAAGTTTTAGATTTTAGACTCTCCATCTGAAGAACACACCAGAAAATATATATATTTTTAAAATCAAATTGTGAACAGATGGTTTGTGAAAAGTTGGGTTACAGTTAGTAATAAACTTTTAACAATTTAACCATTGAGGAAATGCTTTACAAAAACAAGTATAAAAATGGAAAAGGAAATAAAAATATATAAAATAAATTATATTCATGAAACTCCCCAAAAGTATGAAAAAAAGCTACTTTTATCTCTTGTTTTGATGGAAAAACTGACTCTGTTGGTTTCCTCCACAGGGAGTTCCCAACTCTCGGAGCTCTGACTTCAAAAGCTGTTTGTTTTCAGCCTGTGGAACTGTTAAAATAGTCCATCACATGACTTCAATGAAAAAATGGCTTGAAAGGATTTGTAAAAAAGTAAAAAAAAAGAAAAAAAAGTAAAAAAAAACACAAAAAAAAACACCTGATCTACCAAATTCTAGATATGGTGAGAATTGAATAGGTCTGAGAACGGATCCCTGAGGGACACACATGCTAGAGCGTCGAAAGAACCTCCTCACCGAGTTGGAGCAGTTTCTTGGCTGTACTCAGGCTCTGATTGGAGCATGCAACATTTAGGGGTGAACCTGATTGGTCGGAGTGCTGATCCACATCTGCACCAAACTGCACCAGAGCCTCAATGCACTCTGGGTGACCTGGATGGGTTTAACAGAGTAGAAACAATACACTAGATGTGTGTATTTGTAATTCCAGAAAGAAACTTTTCTGCACATGTTATTTTGGGCTTCCATTATGTGTGTGTGAATACACACATGGGCGTGACCCTTCACCTTTGGCTGCAGCACAGTGGATTGGAGACGGAGACTGCCCGCTCCCTACAGGACTCGCTCCGTGATGAAGCAGTAACGACACACAAGTCACATGACCTCGGGCGCACGCCTCCGTCAGAGGGGTTTGTCCATGCACCGTGGAACTGTTGACCTTATATAGGACAAATGGGTGATTCTTTAGATTATCTTAAAGGTTAGTCACAAGGAGGACAGAAGATAAAAACGTTTTTCACTGACATTTGCCCCGTTTTCTATTAAGAGTTTGGCACAGGCCGCGTGTCCCTTCACACATGCTCCATGTAGAGGAGAGACCTGGTCCAGAGTGTTCAGGTTCACACATTTACCCTGAGAACAAAAACATGTATATTTGTGTCACTTCAGGCTGCAGTTCAATCCACAACCTACAGGGTGTCACATTAGACTTGGTCAGTTATTTACCTGTAGGAATGAATGAATGACACCTTGGTCCTGAGCTCACACTGAGTGAACTTTAACTAACGTGTTTTATATATTTGGCTAAATTGAATTATTCTTGTCTGAATTACCAATTTGACTTGAACATTTCAAGCTGAATGTTGTGGTAATTTAAAAAAAATGTTGTTATCGTTTTTAATACACATTTACTTGACTTCACATTTTTGGCCAATTTTGAACTATACACCCACACACACCGAGATATATAGTGTATTCTAACCTGTACCTTGAACCTATAAGAGTTAGCATTTAACCTATAGCTGTTTTTGCTATATATCACATGATTTATTTTCATATTTGAATTTACAAAAAATAAGCTTTTAAGTATCCCCTAATGTCATGAAGCACTTTTTTTTAGAAAGTACCAAATTCCAAATGTCCACCTTAGTGATGAGCTTCTGCAAAGCCAGGACCCGACCATTAAAAGCAGCATCGTGAACTGGAGACCAGTCCGACTCCACATCTACGTTCAAAAACACAGACACAACATTCTTCTCCTCATTTGTGCACTTTCAGACCTTCAACAATAATGATCAGAGCGACAAATACACTCCAGCTGTGAGAGTGACTTCCTGCTGCCAGCTGCACTCACCACTCATGAGAGGGTTGGAGAAAAACACTGGAGCTCCACTCTGACATGTAGTGTCGTGTCCAGTCTCTGCGTGTCCAGAAGACATTGCTGTGTCTCTGCACTCGTCCAAAAGTTCCTTTATCCTTCCTTTGTCTCGCCTGATGGGCTTTTTGGATAGGAGGCTGACGTTTGCCGAGCTAGGAGGATGTGGATAGGAGGCTGACGTTTGCCGAGCTCTCGACTTAAAGCTCATCTGAATTATGTTTGGTTCTCATCTGTTTTCACTGTGGCAAGACCTGGTGCTGTGATGTCATTTCCTGTCACGCAAAGTATTTGCCTTGCAGGAAGAAGGCTGGTACAAAGTATTAGTTGTGTCTCAGCAAGGGCAGCCTGTCAGGCAGGTCTGTAACATGAGACAGAGTGTGTGCACACCCCCTCTGCTCCAGGGGGAGAGAGAAGAGGTGATGGGGGAGGACGGGTGTTGAAGTTTTCATACTGAGAAATAATTAAACCAACACAACAACACTGTTGTTTTACCATCATGTCAAAGGTTAGGAAGGTTCTGGAATATGTTTAATTTGGTAAACATTTGAAGGACATAGTAGTACTTCACTTAAATGTGTTATAAAAGCAGAATGCCATGTTGTTACATGTATTCATGACTTTTGTCGCAGAGGAATGATCATTTAGCTTTAGCTGCGTCTTTTGGTTCTGATCTACAGATAAATCTCATCTCAATTTTCTAATAATAAACAATATTATTATAATGTGTCCATTATTATTATAATGGACACAATTCAAGACTTAAAAGGAAACGAACATACTACACCAGCAGAGGGCAGCAACAGAGAGAAGATACTAAAACAGAGACTCCAACACCAAACCTCCCTCAGCCTGGTGTTAAATGGTCACCAGTACGAAAAACATCTGTTACATAAACAAACTCATTGGAGTAAAATGCATGAAGTCATTTCTTCATAAACCGCGGAGATTGTGACTTAGTGTTGACCTACATTTGATTAAATGCATAACTGTTAGCATGCAGTGTTTACGTTCCAGAAGACAAAATGTCGTTGAAATTGTAATAATCACTTTTTCTGCGTGACTGCACACAACGAAACAACCTTTTGCCTACACCACGTGACCACATGACACAGCAAAAAATAAAAAATAAATCTCTATCGATTCAAGAAACTTTTTTGATAAATATCTCTATCGATTCAAGAAACTTTTTTGAAAGGACTAAAAGCCAGCGAAAAAGTCTTGAAAGGTATATTATGAGCCAAAGAAGTGCCATGATCAGTACAAAACAGCACAGAAAATATAGCATATACATAAAAAGTCAACGTAAAGCTAATAGTGACACAGAGCTAATGACCAAAACAAAAACAACACGTGTCAGACATAGGTCCGCAGAAAAGAAAAGGCCAGGAGTTAGTATGAGACCAGAAGATACGGAAAAACAAATTAGCCTCATCTTGGGCAAAATAAAACCTGTCCCAGTGCCAGATTTGGACCCTGAGCCAGAGTTTGGACAAAACTTTTTTATTTTTGGTTGTTTCTTGTATATATTTGAATGCATTTCTTTCTGTTGAAATATGTTAATATTTTTAACATATTCATATTAATAACTTTTTCTGCTGTGTGGATCATGAGCCTGATGAACGGTTATCTTTGAAGTCATTAACGATAGTTCAGTCCCGACAAACGCCCCAGTTCAACACAGCAGGCCTTTGTATAGGACAGAACCGCAGGGATTAAATGGAAGCACATGATGGTTCGAGTCCCGTGATTTCTGAGCCTGTTAGGGGGTTAGGGACTCTCTGACATTTCTTTTTCATTTTTTGTCCTCTCTCTTTCTTTCTTTCTTTCTCCTTAACCTTCCGACACCAGACAGCACACACCTCTCCGACTCTCTCTCCCCCTCTCCTCCCTCTCTCTCTCTGTCCACTCCATCATGGCATCTCCACGGCTGGAGACCTTCTGCTGTCCGAACCGGGACGCAGCCACGGACTTCGTGGTCTCCTTCCAGCCGACTCTGTTCGGGGTTTTGACTCTGTCCAGCGCGGCTCTCAGCTTCGTCTTTGCCATTTTACAGATTTTGCCCAAACGCAAAGGCTTCAGAAGACTGGGGCAGTTCCCCCTGACCAGGCCTGCGTCCTCAGTACGGATTCTCTTCATCATCAGTCTGTGTGACATCCTGGGATGTGCAGGTAAATCGGCCCGGTCCAATTACGCGCACCAATTACGCAAATACGTAATCCTGAATTTTTAAATTTCTCATGTCCAGATTATCAACGGAATAAATACAATAGTATGTTTATAGAACGGAATAAATGCAACATTTACCGACTTTTGGTAAGAGTAACAGATTAAACCCCATAATTTGATTTATAAAGTTGGTCAAAAACGTTAGGGATAATTTACTCGCTGTCAACATGTTGTTAGAAGTACTGACTGTAGTTCCTTTAATTTATTTACTTATAAATGGCATTGTTTCTCTGTGGCTGTGGTGTTTATGGAACACAGACCGACGTGTCTCAGTCATGACATTTAAGATGTTTGTGCAGCTCCAGACTACAGCATTATTTATGGTCACTCCGTTGACTTAGCAGAACAGAGAATCTTTTCATAGCGAGTAACTATTGTGGAACACGGGGAGTTTAACAAGGACTCAGAAAATGGTCTTTGTTCCAGAAAAAACCAGGGCTGATAAAGATCTTAGCAGAGGATGGTTTCGATCCATCGACCTCTGGGTTATGGGCTTTTTTTTTGCTGGTCATTGAACGCCTCACATCAAGAGTTCCATTTGCCGTCCTTGAAGTGCATGTGCAGCACGGCAGGTGAATCTCACATGTCAAACCCTGTGATATAATGATGAGGTTTGGGGGGTTTAGGGGGATTTTATTGTCAGTTCCATAATTTTTTTTTACATCTTAGTTGTTGCATCTGAATGATGTACGGGTCTATGGGAACTGTTGGCTTAATCTACACTCTTAATCTGGTTTAAGGACATGATCATCGTTTTGTCATTTCTGATCCCATTTAGAGGAAAATAGACTATTAACATGGTGGGTCAATGTCACTGTCCACAACAAGGCTCACTGGCTCACTGTTCTCTTCAAATGGAGTTGTAATCCACAAAATGAAAACCATATTCTACCAAAGACCAATCAGAGATTTTGGTCCCCTTTTTTTCTGGGGCTTCTCTATTTTCAGCCACTCTGTTCAGTCCGTTTGCTCAGTCCGTGTTTTATAAACGGTCTACAAAATCGTTTTTATGAATAATGCACAACAACAGGGTGTCTGCAGCACATAAAGATGGGGTGGGGGATGAGGAGGGGTCCATTAAACTCCATTCAGTAAAAGTTTATTGTAGGAAATGGAAAAACCCCCATAAACCTCACCTGTAGGCAGTTTTATGATGTAAGGCTGTTATTAAAAGGACTCCCTGACTCTGAACCAGTTTGAGCGGAAATCGAGACTGAAAACAAGGCACTTTGAAGTCTTTTAAATGTTAATGAATCCCAGACCCTTTTCACAGCTCCTTCACGGATTGTGGTTTGTTTTCTTTATTTCTTTCCTACCGCAGTTGCATCTGCTGTCAATGCAGGAAGGCAACAATTTGCTCAACACTTAAAAACCACATGTTGTTTTTCCCTCCCCCTGTTCCAGGTATCATCATCAGGTCCTCAGTCTGGTTAGGCCTGCCCAATGTTGTGGAAGAGATCTCCGTGGCCAACAACACCAGCATCTGGCCAGAGACCTTCTGCGTAGGCAGTTCGGTGAGTGCAGTACTGATTGCAGTAACGGAGCTGAATCTCTGGAGTTAAGTGACGCTTAAATTTGCCATATTTTCCAGACTATAAGTCGCTCTGGAGTATAAGACGCACCAGCAAAAGGATGAACAAAAAGTGCGACTTATAGTCCACAAAATTTTGTAATATGAGAAAACAGTTCCATGTGCACGTCGTGCGTGGTGATGTAGCTTCCTGATTTCATAGATGAAAATGTTGAGCTGACAACTGACTTGACTCTCAAAATTCACAATGATGAGGCCAGTGAACACAACACCATTTATCAGCACATACACTGTTCCTCTTATATGTGCTGCAGATGTGGATCCAGCTGTTTTTCAGCGCTTCTTTTTGGTGGACCTTCTGCTACGCCATTGACGTCTTCCTCGTGGTTAAAACCTCGGCAGGAATCAGGTGCTTCCTTCAGTTCATTATTACCATTCATTATAGACAAGGCTTTATTTCCCGGGTGTCACACCGGAGTTCACTCCACTGTTTGCTTCATGTTCAATCAAACCATTTTCAAACACATTTTGTAACTGTGCTGTGGAAGTTCTCTGACATCAGCCCCAGGTTTTTACACCAAAGAGAGGGGATTAAAAAAAAAGCCTGAAGACACAGAGCTGCAGAACGTGTGATGTTCTCAGTCTCATGACTTGTTTCTCTGCCCCTCTTCCTTCAGCACCATTATCCTCTACCACATGATAACATGGGGTCTGGCTGTGCTGCTGTGTGTTGAAGGAGTGGTCATGCTCTACTATCCGTCCATTTCTGAGTAAGACCCTTTGTTCTTCTTGTTTGTCTTTATTTTTTTATGAAGTTATCAGTACTGCCCTGAGGATGACAGATGTGCAGGAGATATTTTAGAAGGTTTTAGGTTTTATTTGTTTCCACAAACAGTGTGTTTCAAAACTGTAATGAACTGATGGAGTTTAGGGTTTTGCCCATGTGTGTTCATGACTAAGTTGTCTGGACTATATGGAAATGAATCAATACATTTCTTATTCCCGTTTCCTACAGCTGTGAGCTCGGCCTCCAACACGCCATCCCTCACTACGTCACCACGTATGCACCCATGTTACTGGTCCTTGTGGCCAACCCTATTTTCTTCAACCGCACCATATCAGCAGGTCAGCGCTTTCCACTGTTACCTACTGCATATCTCTGTATGAACACATCTCTTACACAGACACCTGCCGAAATAAACCTAGGTTGTTTTTTTCCCCCTACGATCAGTGACGTCTCTGCTGAAAGGACGGCAGGGAATATACACAGAGAATGAGAGGAGGCTGGCAAACGAGATAACACTTCGCTTCTTCAAAATGATGCTGGTGTTTGTCATTTGGTATGTCACAGTGTTTGTATCAAGTAGTATGACTGTAAGGTATAGGCTCAGAGCAAAGTGCTCCTTAAAAAGTCTGAAATGTGGAGCTTTGGGCGGCGTCATAAAATATATAGTTGATCCCAAGTGTCACAGCTTACACAAAATTTAGTTTGACTTTGAATAGTTTAAATAAGACGATAAATGATTTAATGCTGTGCAGTAAAGGCAGGAATAGGCAAGAAACCCCAAAGAAATATGCTTTAGCTAGCCAAATGCTTTAGCTAGCCGAATATGAATTCTGTGTTAGTCACACACCAGCAAATTAAGCACTAAGGCTGAAAATTACAGCTCTTAACTTAATAAAACATTAAAAAAAAAAAAGGTTGGCAAAACTGTAGTATAACAGTAGCCACAAACATAACACAAGCAAGAGGAAAAAGTAAGTTGAGTTGATAACAAGCAAACAATCAAAAACGGGCAATATTTGAATTGTCCAAAGACCAACTCAGGAAACAAAACTAAGCTGATGAACAGAAAAAAAAAACTCAACAGACTGCAGTAACAACAGACAGCAAAAAAGTCAATACACAGAACCCACACATACACCCAAACATCAACAGCAATCACAGACAGAGTGAGGGACAGAGGCTTATATACCCAGGGCACCAGGTGAGACGAGTGAGACTGATTAGACAAAGAGCACAGGACACAGGTGACGGTGATCAACAGCCAATCAGAGACAGAAGAGCCGACAGCCTGACAGATAAATGTGCAGAAAAACTTTAGAGATATTTAGGGCTATAAAATACTGGATTTAAAAGAAAAGTATAAACTTTTGTGAAATCTTATAAAAACAGATGTGGTTTAAACCCTGATGAGGACAATGAGCTGTAACTGAAAAAGAAATGTAGTATTTACCTTCTCTTAGAAATAGTGTGTCAGTTTTTAAAGAAAACTGGTCATGTTCCATTTATCTTTTTCTTTTGAAGTTAATCTCTCAGACTCTGATAGCTACAGAATAAAGTTTCATACTGTTTTCACATTGGCGATTAATACAGTATTCGCTGAGATAGAATCATGTAATAACTAATACAGGAGTGGAATGCAGGATGGCGTGTGAAAACAGCCATCCTTCACCAATCCTTCAATGATCAGCACGACGTTACTACCAGTCCTTGGAACAAAGAAAGGGTTGGGGACCACTGCTTTACAGTACATCGGTTGTCAATGTCTCACTGTGAAGCTAACAGGTGACTTGTCTTTCCTGTGACCATCAGCTGGGTCCCCAACATCATCAATGAGAGCCTGCTCTTCTACCTGGAGATGCAGACTGACATCACTGACAGCAGCTTAAGGAACGTTAGAAACGCAGCACTCACCACGTGGTTTATCATGGTAGGTTCACAAAAAAATAAAAAATAAATACAGGGCTGTTACTGGTTACATTTATTAATGTGAATAATTACAGTGTAGCTTTTGGTTAATCTCGATTAATCATTATTAACTGCTATTAAATGTAATTCAACGTGATTAAAAATCACGATCAATTTCAATTAATCCTGATTAATAGCAGAGAGGATAACAATTAATAGCAGGGAAGAACCTTTTAAGTATTTGGCACTACTGTATTTTTCAGAGTATAAGTCGCACCAGCCAAAGGATGAAAAAGGTGTGACTTACAGATATTAGCAGATATTTGTACATAAGTGCCCTCTAGCGGCTGTCGGTGTGAAAATAACAATAATGTGAAATAATGAAGTCGCAAACCCAGCCAAAGGATGAAAAAAAGTGTGACTTATAGTCTAGAAAATACAGTAATTTTATTCTCTTCACTCTTTCAGGGCATCCTAAACCCCATGCAGGCGTTCCTCAACACCCTGGCCTTCCATGGCTGGACAGGTCTCAACGTGGACCTCAGCCTGCAGCAGAACAGAGAACTGGCCTGGGAGTCACTGTCCACATCGGTACCTAACACGACCAACCCTAACCCCAGGGTAGGAACCACTCTACTCTACCAGAGTCACATCCAGGAAGCTAAGAAGGCCAACGGCAACGGACAGCACTTTGACGCCATCAGTGTCCTCTCAGAAGGTAAATGGCCTCTAGATGGCAACAACAGCTCACCTATGTATGAGGGCTGGTGACGTTGCTACATTGGTCGTGAGCTTCCTGTCTGGTGCTGGGTGTCTGCGGATGCTGTGAATGGACTGAAATGTTTAGAATGAAACACTTAGGACATCATCAACTGAGGAATCTGTTCTTTTTTTTTTTGTCTTTTGGGGCGGGGTTTATAACTGAGGGTAAAGTTTAACACAAACTTATACTTATAAATAAATATACTCCATTAAACTCACTAAGGTGATGGGTTAAAGCCATGCCCCCACTCCAGGGGCCAGAAGTTCCCCACCCACAAATTGAAATACTATTGAGCACCTGGCCAAATTTATTTATTTAACTGTACAAACCACTGTACGATCTGCATACCATCAATATAGATTAATAAAATGAGCTGCAATGCTGCCATCTAGTGACTAGATGCTTGTTTAGCGATTGTGTTGATAATGTACAAGTTACATGTATGGGAGGTGGAGTGGGGAGGCGTGGTGAGAGCGCGCGTGTGTATGAGGACGAGAGAGTGCGGAGAGTGAGAGAGGAGGAAAATGCGATTGTGGAGAAGCTGGGTTGGGAGCAATAAAGGAGTTTAGAACGAGTTACTGCAATTGTGTTTCAATAAAAGTTCTTCAGAGCACTGATGCATCAGACTGGTCTGTCACCGGGACATTACACTATTATTAGAGCACACCTCGTTTCGTGAAACCCAAGCGTTCTCGGGTTTTCAATATAAGAGGAAAAAACGATAATTATTCTAACAGATATTCCAACAGATATTATCGATCGGCCGATATTATCGGACATCTCGCTTTATTAAAATTATGAGAATAAAGCTTTACCATTTCAAAAAAGCAATACCAATTTATGATAATTAAGTGTTGTGATAAAAAGTTGCCAATACATGAATTCAATATTGTATTCTGTTAAAGATAACAATTTCAATTTATACAAAAGTATAAATTGTAGAAAATATAGTGAGAAACCTCCATGACAAAAAAAAAAGACAAAACATTAGGACATGTTTCTAACGGGATCTCAATGGATTATCCTAAAATAATTTTGTTTTCTTATAGCTGTTGTTAATCCCTGTGACTGGATTTTTTTCATTTAAAAAATATTAAACATAAAAAATTACACTACATCACAGTTACATAAATCAACGATCTGACACAGTATTTTGCTGTTAACGTGGATTTCATCTGTATGTCTGTAGATTGTTTATTATTATTATTATTAAAAGCACATTTCTTTATTGGCGTCAAAGAACTCAAACATCAATATTATAATTAATTAAAAAAATGATTTAGTGAAGGGGAGGTTTACATTAAAACTAATGACATTTTTCTGCTGTTTGTTAAGGTGTCATGTGTCGTAATACACCTAGTAATTACCCCTATTTTGTCTTGCTAGGTTCAGAGTCTAGTACAGTTGAAATCCACATTTCCAGCGAGCATCGAGACAATGAGGATTTAGACGCTGACGGAGAATCCTTGGATAACTCCGAGAGGGCCTAGCTACATACAACCGACCAACTTTCTCTGCTTTTGTGGTGTGACTTTTAGAGACTCTTCCTTCATGATAATCTGCTAAACTCCTGATTGTGCTGTCGAGACTCTCGCCGCTTAAGGCCTGTCACGAGATTTAACCAGTTGGCTCGGTGCGACCGGGGCTCAGCCTGAATCCCAAGCCTTTATAACATTTTTCTCTAAGCTGTTAAAATGTTGCCTGCAGGCCGTTGTACTGTAGTATTACCCTGCACATTGTTGAAGTAAACCAGTCAGATGTCAGCACATGTACTATTTTTACACAGGATGTGCCTTTACGTTGACTTAGGTGCTTGGGGAAACATTCAATTTTCCAGTTTTCCAGGCAATATGAAGAGGCTTGGGGAAACATTCAAATTTCCAGTTTTCCAGGCAATATGAAGAGACACTGGTTTTGTGACATGAATTTCAGCTGTTTACAGAATGTTTGAATTGAATGTGACATTGAAAAAAATGTATTTCCTGCTGCCTTCCTTGTATTTTTGCACACAGCTGTTATGTATTAAATGCCATAAAGATTTCTTATACATTTATGGGTTTGTTTGCTTTTTTTTAAACCAATCATTGCAGTGGATTTTGTCACGTCTCAGACGTGCAGTCTGTCGTTTGTAAAAATAATTGTGTCTGGATGTAAGTTCGCTGTCTTGACTTATGTTCTTTCGAATTCAAGTAAATCCATGAGTCTGGAATTAAATTTAAAGCCTGATAATCTCTCTCTCTTTAGCTTAGCTATTAGCTTTAGCTCATTGACAGCAACTCGGCATCCTTCTAATAGCATTACCGCCACCTAGTGTTTTGTTCAATTAATAACCTAGAAATGGCCCCTTAAGCCTCAGAAAAAGGGAAAAAAATTGTAAAAATGAATAAAAGACCAAAAAAAATGTTAGCCATAATTTTCAAATAAAAAAGTCTTAATATTTGTTAAAATAAATAATATTCTGCCAACAAAAAACAAATTTTATGGTAAAACCTTATTATTTTCTTGAAGAAAATAAGTCAAAATCTATGACATCATAGTGACCTATCAATATTCTGGTCAGCAAAAGACAGGATTTAAAATTAAACACAGACGCCACTGTTTCTGATATCAAAATAGAGTGATTTATTTGAAACGCAGAATGACTTCAATGTTTTAGTCCTCGAAACAGGTGAGCCACCCTAGAGCAGGGCGTCAGACAAACAGTCGCCGTCACCACACTTATTCCAACCTGGGCTCTTTAGCCTGCCAACCCAAACACAGCCTGATTCTCAGTCTGACACAGACAATATTGGCTCTGAGCAAATGAAAAACAACAAACCACCCATCAACATCGAATAGTAATACAAAGAAAGACAGAAACAAAAAAAGGAGACAAAAATATATTGGCCCTTTAACTGAACATGAAGCTGAAGCCACCACTACAAAAAGTGCACTTCATGTTGGTCTGGCTGAAGTCGATGCAGAAAGAAAAGAACCAGGTAAAAGGCAAAAAAAAATCAAAGCCGTGACAACTTTGTGATCAGCTCTTAGGGTTAATACACGACTGCAACGCTTGAAGCCCATTAATTAGCATTTTAGCAGGCAGCACTCACAGGGACTGAATGAGAACAATCATTACCCACATTTAGGTTTTCCAGTCTTTTTAAGCATCAGTTGGACTTAAGCTCCGCTTCCACCTTGTGGTCACAATGTAGTCTGACATTTCTGCTGAATGTTGAGGGAGGAGAAAAAAAAACCCAAAAAAACAAACAAACAAACAAAAAAAAAAACAACCAGAAAAACAGAGGAGCCATAGATAAAAACTATCACGAACGCCTCCATCCTTATGACATGCACTTTTGTCAGTGACTCTCTGTGATTATGAGGAGAGACTTGAGCTGTTTGTGACTCACTTGATTTAAAAGAAACAAAAAACATTTGGATGCACGGGTCAAAAAAGACCAGGATTTTAAAAAACGCTGCTGAGGCATGCACTTTCTTTAAAAAGAGGCCTCATTCTGTGTTAGCAGTAAAAGACGTGACAACTCTAGCCATTAGTGAGCCCCTACAGGATGGCAATAAAGAGTAGTGTATATAAACATATATACACAGTATATAAGTCTGTGTATTTATCTAATTTACATATCTTTACATTCTTTAAATTTACATCCAAACGGGCGAAGATTTTCTTCTTTTCACATCTTGTTCACTGAGCGATGTTTTTCTAATCTCGTCTGAACTGAGCTCGATCTTTGTTTGTTTTCCATCATTGTTTTATTAAGAGATGAGTACTCATTCTTGGCGTATTGATTTTGATGACGTTAAAATGTGAGCGTAGAACTACCTCGTACTGGCACATTCAATTATGACTTTCAAAAGTCCATCTGTGGAAAATAGACAAAAAGATGGCTCCAAGAAGTACTCTTGAAACACACTAGTCTCCGCTGAGGAGAAGGTTAAGCACACTGTCCGTGGACAATAGCAGTGCTTCTGTTCTGATGTTACTTTCAGCATGTCAACCATTACGTCATTAAACCACGACATGGAGTAACATTTGCACAAAGGAATTCTCTCTCTCTCACGCTCACTCTCTCTCGCTTCTTGTTTTGTTTGCAGCCAAACATGTGTCTCATTAACACTTCTCTCAAACTGTAAAACCCAACTCGGTGTTTCCGACCCTTCACATTCCCATAACAGCTGGACCGTAGGCCCGGAGGGGATCGCAGCACTGCTTCATTGGAAACCTTGTAAAACACAGATGCACCCAGCGATTTGGATTTGGTCCAATCTGGGGGATCTCTTAAAAAAAAAACCCAGACTCCATTGTCTCAGTCAGGCCGATGATGAAACACACTTCAACGGAGTGCACCGAGTTCAGTGGGTGTCGGCTCATCAGGAGCAGCTGTCGTCGTTTTGTTTTTCACTTCTGTGTAGGTTTTTTTTGCGTCAGTCCACCTTAACGGCTCCTTTAAAGCCACGAGAGTGTGTTTGCTGATGTCAGAAGAAGGCAATTTGCTGCGCGTTCCAGGATTCATCATTAGAAAGTCTCAGGTCAGCTATTTTCGGAGATCAAGAACACAGACCTGCAAGGAAATGACGTTTGGTAGCATTAATAAAACATTCCAGGCAAAATACTGCCCAAACTCAAGATGAAAAAAAAAAATTGTAAAGTCATCTAAATGGATATTGCCTACCGATCCGTCTGATGCACTGGCACCAACTTTGTCCCCGGTGCTGTTCCAGCATACCTCGAAAATACCACCAGTGCCTCTGTAGCTGTGGACTAAGGCTCCGGTCTGGAAACGACAGCACAGACAAAAAATTACCAACAAAAGAACGAATACGAATACAAATGCTATAAACAAACATTTTTTCTACTTCATTTTCCTGTAAAACAGCACCCTCCGCTGGACAGAGGGCCACATTTAGGGTAAAAAAAAATAGTAACATCAAAATCAAAAATTCACACCAATCAACCAAAAGCTGAAAAACAGGGCAGACAGGACAAACACCATGGGTACAACAGAGAAGTAATGTTTGTGACATGTTGGTGTGCTACAACAAATGGTGCGTTCAAGTTGTTCATGAATGTTGGAATTCCACCATTAAACTTAAGCACAGACAGAAAACAGAAAACTTAGTTTAGTACCACGTGCCTTAAACCTGTATAAAATATATAAATATAAATCAAACTATAGGATTAGAAACATATATCTATATATATTAGTATGTTTATCTGCTAACATTATTGTACTGACAGCTTTTTTCTCCCCATTTGTAGTCTTTACAGCAAGCTCTCAAGGGTATTTTTTACCAGGAAGGGGATAAACGAGGAAAAATGGTGCAAATCTGCGGTCTGCTTACCGTGGTGTTCCAAATGTGGACGCACTTATCGAAGGAACCACTGGCCAGGTGTTTACCATCTGGGCTGAAGGCCACACTGTAGACAGGTTCCTGGTGTTTGGTCAGTGTGTGAATGCAAATGCCCCGGTCCACATCCCACAGTCGAACAGTGGAGTCGAAGGAGGCGCTGGGCGTGAAAGGGAAAGAAAAAACAAAAAACATTCTAATAGGAGTATGATGATTCTGAATGCAAAAAAACAATATATACAAAATGTGTCGAATTTTCATTGAATAATTAGTAAAAACACAATATAGGGATGAAAAACATTTTAACCATGATTTATTAAAGGTATTAAAGGGTCAAGGTAGATTTGATTTTATTTTGAAATGCTGGCACCCAGTCTGGATTTGTCTGTGCAGGCTGTGAACATTAGTGCTGTTTGAGCTGGAATATTTTAAAGATTTGTTCACATCTGGTTCAGGATGTGAGGCTGTGGCCCGCTGACATTTACTAGCGCTCAGATTTTGCTTGGAACATTGTTTCTTCTGAACAGTGGGCTGCAACAAGACCACCTCAGTCCCTCCTCCCCCTCCAATCGTACAGTCAGAAACATGTGGCCCCTGCACACAGGTCACACAGAGCTTGACTTTTCTGTCTGAAGTGAGCAGTGTGTGTGTGTGTGTGTGTGTGTGTGTTTGTAGGCTGGTGGGTGAGAGCTATGTGAGATGATGATTTCTCCACCTGGCAAGCATGATGTTGGAGTTGGGGTTGTTTGTGCCTGGCCCTGTGGGACTCCACTTGATGGTGTAGATCTCTTTGCTGTGGGCCTGGAGGTCGTGAACACAGGACTCGTGCTTCATACTCCAGATCTGTGGGTGGAGGACGAATTCACAGGACAAGGTTTGACCGAATGCAAATCACAGAGGTGGTGAGTCCTTAATAAACTCTTAGACTGGGGAGTAGGGCTCACCTTTAACGTCATGTCATCTGAGCAGGATGCCAGCAGCATACCTGATGGATCCCACTTAATGGCATTAACCTCATTCTGTGGAAACACAAAACTCATTAGACAGGGGTAATTAGCATTGCCTTTGGCGACGTCAGGTCAGAGGAACTAAGCAGTTTACCGTGTGGCCCTGGAAGGTCTTGAGAGGCCGGTCACTGCCGAGTCGGCATACATGAATGCACATGTCCGTGCTACATGAGGCAAAGGTGGTGTTGTTTTGCCAGTCCACGTCCAAAGCTGGGGCTGAAGAATATTTAAAACAGAGATCCATATTTATGAAAGGGTTTGAAGATTTATAGTTTAGTTTGTTAGCTGTATTTATAGCAAACTCACTTTACCTGAGTGGAAAGGAAACTGCTGTTTGGCTTCTCCTGTGAGTGCATCCCAAATGATTGTCGTCTGGGAGAAGAGGTGAAATCAAAGGTTAAGCATATGACACACAACGAAAAGAAGAAAAAAAAACAGGATACTGTTACTGAAAGACAAATCCATGCTTTGGGAAGATCCATAAAGTACCTTATCTACGCCAGCACTGAGAATAGAGTTCCCCTTCTTGTTCCACTTGAGTGCAAAAATGGGCCCTTTGTGCTGCCCCAATGTGCTTGCCAGATTTCCTAATGGACAAGAGCCAAATTCATTTCTTTTAGAAGTGGAAAAAAAACTGCTTCAGAAAAGTCAGGTTGCATTTTTTAACAATAACAATGACCCATTCCCACTGGAAGGGGACAAAGGGGTGAACATACCATCCTTTGTCCATATTCTGGCAAATCCATCATACGAGCCAGTTGCCAGCAGAGTCCCGTCGCTCTATTGGATGGAAAGATAACATAAGTGTCACCGCTTGCTTCGCTTGTAAAATCTGCACATGATCGATGTAGAATGAGTAGATGGTTGGTGACTTATGAGGGCGGGAGGAGCATACATTCCAGTCCAGTGAGGTGACGTCTTTGTTACTTGGGACATCCTGGCCACCTTCTCGGATACAGTGGCGCAGCACCAGCTGGGTGGAGTTGGAGTTATTATTCTCGTTCAGGTTCCAGATCCTGGCGGTGGAGTCTCCCGACCTGCAGAGAATACCAACACAGATGGAGATGAGGTCAAAAGATTGTTGAAATATAAACAGTCAGTGAGGGTTTTATCTTTCGAAGCCATTAATCTTTCAAAATAAAAGCTGAAACGTGCACGGACTACAGTCTGACTCATTTTGCCATCTGTTTTCGGCACAGACAGACACCCACCCTGAGGCGAGCAGATCGCTGACGGGGTTCCAGGCACAGATGAACACTTCGGACTCATGACCTCGAAGCACTGTGGCTTTACTAGCTGGTATTGCGACATCCATATCCACCTCCATAGGTTCACTGTGGTTATCTGAAAAGAGTCAGTGCAAACACAGATGGTAACATCCACTTGCAATTGTATGCATTAATACACACGTGCAAACACACATACAGCAGGAGCCAGCTCTTAGCATGGGCCACATAGGTGGTCACCTGGGACGCCATCTGCTGGAAAAGGTCTTTGAAAGAAATAAATAACTGTAATACCTTGCAATACAACACTTTATTGTTTATACTGTGGGAGTAGTCTTGACTCTTTAAATCTTTGCTCATTTGGCTGGGGGATGGGGAGGGTGCTAAACCATAACCTTGCCTAGGGAACTAAAATGGCTGTAGCCTCTATAATAAGCCTTTATAGAGTATAAATAACTGCTGTTTCACTGTTTCAAGACAGTCTCTGCAATACTGAGTATTACTTTAGATCTAAAGAGTTGCATTTTCATTAGCAAAAGACCTCAGAAAAATCAATAATGATTTGTTGCGGGTCTGTGCAGTTCTGCTACTTTTACACCCATCACGTCTGTGAACGTGACTCAGTTGTTGTGTACACTAGCACCACAGCTTAGTGAGAATGCAGGCCCGGCTTAACGAATGCAGATTTTATTACCAGGGAAAAGCCTGGTGAGCACTGAATCCCAATGTCCACCGTCCCTGTACCTGCAGAAAGTTAACGCTCGCTCACTCACACCCACACATTACTAACGTCATCCACACCTTCGTTCAAGTCCTGAAGGATGAAGTGACACAAACAGCCACTGCTTGTCTAGAGCTCCTGCTGATCTACGAGTCTGACTGCACTGACAGAAGCTGCTAATAATAACACATTTTGTGAAAACCGCAGCACTGACACAGATTTTGGGCAGTGTGCTTAAGTGCAGTGGTGGCTTAGTGGTTAAGGAAGTGGACTTGGGTACAGAAGGATCCTGGTTCGAGTCCACCAGCTGCCAAAATGCCTGAGCATAGCATCCCTGGGGTGCCCAGGGATGCACAGTGGGGGTGCCCACTGTTCACTTTGGTGATGGGTTAAAAACAGAGGTCAGATTTCATTGTGTGACACAATGACAAATAATTCTCTTCACTTTCTTTTTTTTTTTTAATGAATTCTATAAAACTTGAAAAAAAGATGACAACTATGTGCTTATAGGAAAAAGAGAGACATTGAATTCTTACTCATGTTGTGAGTGCCATTCTCCTCTCCATTAACAGTGGCTTCTCCATTCTTTGGTGCGTTGTTCTGATTCCCAGAGGTCGAAGCTGACATGCCACTGGCCGCCTGCTGCTGGGCTAACTTGTCACGGAAGGCCTGCTGCCGCGTCTGCACCACGTCGGGCATCACAGCATCGATGAGGGACAGCGACTCAATGGGTCGACCGTCGAACACTGTACCATCCTGTCAGCAAATGTATTCATTTACTTCATTTTTATTCATTTTGCATGGAAAACAAGTTTAAATCTGTGTTCAATAAAGGTAACATTCAATTTTAAATAAAGTCTTTTAAGTATTTCTTACAGTAAAGAAATATATATTAAGACACATTTTGAATATAAATATACAAAAATTACTGGAATTATAGTGTGCAAGTTTGTGTGCAGATTCTAGAAATAGCACGTCCTTGTCCTCACCTCATTAATGCTGATCTCCGCCTCCACATACTGGAGCCCTTTCTGCAGGATGGAAATGAGAGCTGCAGGGGGCACTAGTGTTCCGTTGATGTTAGACTGGCTAATGTGGCTCTCTATGCCAAAGGTGAATGCAGAGTGAGAGAAACCTGGAAACAAATGCGCATTCACATTTAATAATCAGAATAGCGTCAGGGACGAATTGTGTCCACGAGAAACGACGATACACACACGCACGTTCACAAGCACACAGGCATACGAAGACCAGTCTGCTATAGTGTTTCCAAACACACAGACAACGAATACATCCAAAAGCTAAACGGCCAAACAAGAATGACATTTGAGAGCACAACAAGGTCTGCCAATGTGGATGTTGACCTCTGAGCTGCCGGTTGTTTGGACTGTGCCAGATGGCATCAGATGCAGTTGCAATAAACAGTAATAAAATCCAAACGCTGTTTTTTAATTAAATATCAAAGTCCTATCAGAACACACCAAGATTATGTCTAAAAAGAAAGGGAAATACTCATTACAGCAGCAGTACAGAGAGTACTACAAAGCTACTTAATTCCCATAGCCTAAAAAATGCAGTATTTAGAGACAAATAGCATGGAAAATATTAGTAAGTAAGTATTTTAAAACTGATGCATTAATAACATTAATTAATCTGTTTTTAGGGAACATACCTGATTCTTGCAGATATCTGTAGACCAAGAAATTTACTTCGTCACTGGTAATACTCATCTTAGCCCAATGTAGAGGATGAGGTAAGTTCTAGTGCTGGGCTCACTCCTGAAAATGAAAACAAAAATAAAGTAACTGCAGGTGATTGTGACCAGTCATATCTGATTTTATTGTAGCATAAAAGTATAAACTGTAAAAAAAAAACATCCTGGACCAATGTGCTTGTACCTTCAAATACATGAATGGAGGGAACGTCTTGTGGCCACTCTGAACAACTTTACTGTCACTTTGTTATTTGTGTTGATATTTAACACATTTACTTCACATTCATAGCGTTCATAAAGTCCTGGCAATGCAAAAAGGATCGTAAATACCAATCCTGTACCCATCTCACCCCCTACCTCATCATTTGTAACAGAGCTCATGTATACGCCTACCTCATCATTTGTCATTTGTAACAGAGCTCATGTATACGCCTCCATTATGAACATCTTAAAAAAAAAGCTAATAAACAAACAAATTAATTCAAATTCTAATCACTGTTTTTAGTAAATAAGAGAAATGCATGTCTTCAGATTCCCAAAACAAGTATGTACTTTATATAGGGTATACATAACAATTAAAATGAAGGCTTTTAATCAGGTATGAAGACTACAGGGCTGTCAAACTTTCATTCCAAACACCGCCCAGGTCCACTCAAGTTTCCCTGCAGTAGCATAGCAACAAGAGTGATCAGTAAAAATAGGCAGAGAATAGAGATGTCCCAATTACCGGCCGACAAAGAGCCAGAGGGGTTAAACATGTTACTCAACATGAATTATTCACTTTCACCTTTGTAAGGATTATATTTCTACTAACCCAAATCAGTCACAGTGTTTTTACATATGTTTTCTAAGAGAGAATTACAGCAACTGCAAATCAAAGAAGACAAAATAACAAAATAATAATAACGAAAATAAAGGGAACAAACAAGGTTTGTTTATGCTACTCAACTACCGTGCCCTGATGTGACCATGGTCACCATGTTACTCTTAAGCTAATTAGCTTACATATGGGAATAGGAAGAGCTCATCACATCAAAGCACGGCAGCCACTACACCCAGGGCCACGACAGATACATACTAAACAACTGGAAACGTAATTAACATGCAGCCTGATGGGGCTTAGGTCCCATCAGTGCAGAGCGGCAGCAATAATCCCTCAAACAGATGGCCCAATGATGGCAGCACCAACTACTCACTGGGCATCAGAGCCTCTTCGGACCAAACAATGTGACATTTGAGTAAACATGACAATATGCTGACATCTGCCATGGCTTTGATGGGGGGGAAATTATATAATCTTGGTAAAAGAAAAGCAGTATTTTTGCAGTGACAGAAAGTGGTTGTGATAAAACACCACAGCAGTATTCATTACACCCAGCTACACATCAGACAGCCCGTGTTTTTCTCTCACTGCTCTCATGGGTAGTTTATTTAAGTAGGTCAACAATGGCAGATTTGTTCTGTTGCCATACGATAAATTCAACAGTTCACCTGATGACGTACAGTATAATAGGGCTGATTGTGCTAAGGTCTATTCTCAGTTGAATGGCCCACTAGCTAGTTAGAGTGATTATAACTAACCAGGTAACATATCTGTTCGGACTTACTTCACCAACATTGTTAAATGGAACATGAAAATACTGCTGTAAAGTATAAGGGGCTTATTTTATCCTTGATTTTCTTCATGGTTTGTTTACTTTTAAATTGAAATAGCCTTCTGTAAATGAGAAGAAAATAAAGCTGGCTGTCTGTATTTTCTTGTTTGCTGTCCTCACTGTAGTTTGGGTTGAGCTTTGGTCACCCTACTAACTACATAGATATAGCACTGCCTTCCAGTTAAACATAAGATGTAAAAACAGATCAATGTGTGTCAAGCTACTATAGCAATATGAGCCTAGTTTCACAGAAGGCAATATCTAAATATTTGAACCAGATCAACCTCAGCTAAGAAATACAGCAAACAGCTTCTCCACATTAAACTCCACATGTCAGACTGGGAGTATATTAGTTTGAAACAGACAGAGCACAGAATCCATCAAATAAAAGTGAAATACACATAATATACATTTACACCACATGATCCAAGACATCATCAGACCAGATGTACTGTGCCTGTTCCAGGTAAACACCAGTCGTCTGCAGAGCGACTGATGCAACCAGGAAATCTCTCTGTTCTGTTTTACACAAAGCCAACAAACACATCAGAAAGACTGACAGAAAACAGGTGTCAACATTTAGGTGCAATCAGTACACAGTGGAATTATTAAATAGATTAAATAAATTTAATAAATTAAATAGAATTCTACATCAGCAAAAACAAATACATTCAAAATTGGCAGCAAACAGCAAAATGGTTGCATCGATGTTTGTTTACACACTATGGTTATAGTGGGACAAAAAACTGCCTCCACACCTTTTTATTGCACAATGACCATGACCACAAAACACCACAATTTACACTTTTATGGCTCGCTCATTTTGTCACACAGCTTCAGCGGCTACCAGACAAGAAGAGCAGAAGAAGGTTATTAATTACTGACAAAATAGGATGCAAATACCTGGAACACCTTTGTGCGTACTGTATGTACGCACGAGTACATGACAGCCCTCCTATTAGCTTCAAAACATCAGGTGAATTATGCAAAGTAATGTTGAAGTTGATTTTTAGGATGAGTGACAGTGATATTATAAACGAATTACTTTAAAGACAGATAATTAAACATTAAACCTGAGCCAATACTAAATAGCAAACACTGACATCTTCCAGACCAGACAGGCCTGCCACATGAAATCACCAAACCATCACAACAATTATAAAAACCAATCCCAAAAATCCCTTTTGAGCACAATTTGTTCAGAGCAGAAGTAATGGCGTAATGAGGGATCAACAACCCTCCAAATCCTACACATGCGGGATTGAAAAGAGTTATGTTAAAAATCCAGCATAACAGGGACCCCATTTTCTCCTGAACAGTCACCTCATGACAGATGTGCAAACAAGACCTGGAAACAGCAGCCATTTTCTCTTGAACTGCTCTGCTGAGTAAAACCCGCCTTTGAAGCTGCTGGTTGGGCTGCAGTCTTGAGTGGAGGAGGGGAGCGGGAGAGAGACAGATAGCACTGGGGAGGGAATTCTAGAGAGGGGATGGTGGAATGGGAGCAGGGTGATAAATAATGATCCCACACAGGTAATCACAACAACCATTTATGCATTATTCTTAGCTTCTCTCAATGAGTTACTTAGCGGCAGCTGATGTAGGTCACAGTGGGGGATGGTAGGTCAGCACACGCTGGGGGGGATGGTAGCGCTCGGTCTCCAGGGTAAACACTTCTCCCACACTTCCTATTGATGGAATTACTGTTTACCAGCGGTGGCCGACTGTGTGCCAAAGGGAAACAACAGTGTGCAGGGTTTCAAAGAATCAAAGGACTCAAAAACACCAACCCACTAACCATTTTAAATGAAAAAACAAACATAAATACAGGAAGTAAGACTAAACGTAGTATGCAATGGCAGGCTACTCCTCGACTGATAGTTTTACTACAACCCTAACCTCAGCAGTAGATGAAAAAATGTATATGATTTTATACATATATACATATATATACATAGTATGATTTTAATTATAATAGAAAAAACACAGTTGCCTTTACCAAACCCTGCATCAGCCGTCTAAGTCTAACACAGGGCTTTTCTCCAAGGTGCACAAAACAATCACCCTCCTACCACATACATTTGAGCGCACCCGACACATACATTTACACAAAAGTTAATAGGAAAGGAAAGTGAACTACTTGTCATTGTGACACAGCACACCACTGCACACAACGAAATGCGATCTCTGCTTTTAACCCATCACCAAAGTGAACAGTGGGCAGCTTTAAGGGCCCGGGGAGCAGTGTGTGGGGACGGTGCCATGCTCAGAGCACCTCAGTGGTAATGACCACTGCCCCAGTAATAGACATCACAATGCCAATTACTGCATTAAGAAAGGCCAAAGTCGGCAGTGGACATGAAGCAGTTTTATTTTAACAAATATATTACCCTCTCATCGAGCTGTTGCAAGTGACAGAGGAGACTTGAACTGCCAACAAACAAACTCAGCTGCAAGTTCTATGTCTCATTCTATGATAATAATATCATAATTTGATCTGCACAGTTAAGAGCCAGAATATAGTTTTCTGATGTAAGTTCGGGAAGTCGGCTGTTGTTTGAAGCTGGAGTGCTTCAACAGCATCAATGGAAAAGATTGAAACTCATTCAGATATTGTAAAATAAAAGTTAGACTTGTATTATTTTGTACGATTTTCCAAAATACAACACTTCCAGTTATATCAGTGTGGAACCTGTGTCTTCTCTTCGAAAAGCTGAACATTTAGAGGCGCCATCATCAATTACATTTTCTCCCAGGGGAATGAATGGGAAATTGTAACAGTCAGAGAGGATCAGTGAAAAGATTCATCAAGATGGCTCCTCAGGGGGGCTGTCAAGACCCAGGATCCTCCCTTATGCAAGACCCATTACAATCAAATAAAAATGACATCTCCCACTTGATAACCGATGTCAATTTGTATCTTTATTGAACAAAAGGATATAAGCCATCCTATATTGTTCAAAGTGAACCCCTGGGCAATTTTCTATCATCAGTTAGGTCACAGCATACACACCAACTGAACAAAAAATATTAACAAAATATTATAGTAAATAAATGGGTGTGAGTAAAACACAGAAAAGGTTAGTGTATGAACAGCGCATTCGTTGTGTCTCTCTGTCTCCAACACACAACTGATTTCAATTTTATTGAATGATTCAAGTCTCCTTTCCAAGTAGCAACTTATTCAGTACAGTATTACCTGTTGTGCAGTGTCTGCTGTGAAGCAATATTTATGTCATAAGCTAGAAAAGACAATTTTCTACCTTGACTTTTTGCACCCTTTCCCTCTGTTTCAGCAGCAACCACAGTGTAGGGACTAAATTCTATAATAATATAATACAAGAATCGTTTGTGCAATATCAGCTTTTCAAAAATGAGGATAAGACGATAAGGGACATTAGGGAGTTGTTGACAAACACTTTGCCTTATTTCTTTTTACACAAATAATGACAAACTACATTTCTATTTAAAAACAAAAAACATTCCCCATTAAAAATGCTGTGTCTAGCCTAAGATAGGTATATCAAGAGGAATCTAGGTTCATATTCAGAAAAGAAACATCACCTGACTCTTCTGTTATATGTAGCTGGAGAAACAGCGAGCAGCTTCTTCTCACTAATTTCCCATATGAAACAATGTGAGGGTGAAACTAAGGGTGTGTTCACACATTTTATGTCTGCTTTCACTAAATTAACCCCTGGTGTTGTTGCACTGCACATATGGTTTACTTTTACATGTTTGATAGCTATCATCCCCATTTCAATGCACACTGAACAGACTTACCTAGAAGACACATAGATGGCATGAACCAGCGGTGGCTAACCAGTCAAAGGCTGAATTTTGACCGTGTTACTGCAATGAGCCACATTGCAAGTCCCCTTTGGAAATTCTTGGTCAATGTTAGCATGGAGTGAACTGAAGTGCCGCTGAATATTTGAAGCCTTGAAATGCGCTAATGATGCCTGACATATAAGGCACAATGGCTTGCCATTACAATAAAAAAAAAAAAACAACCTCTCCATCTCTATTAAAACCTTCCTGTGTTCATCTTCATATATTCGTTTGGCTGTGCATTTTTCCCTGCCATTTTGAAAGTGAATTTGGTAGGCCTACGCACTACTCAATGGTTTTCCCCTCTAAGTCATTTACATTTGACATAAAGGTAAGAGCTGCATGAAACTGGGCAAAGAGCCGCATGTGGCTCCCGAGCCACGGGGTGGCATATACAGTAGAACTAAGAATACGTAACCAATCTATCTAAAATAAAAGCTGGAACAAAATGCAACACAGGTAGAAAAATGTTTAGTGAATTTATTAATTGAGACAAACACTAAGATAAATGTGTGCATGTAATCGTGGTACACTGGATGCAGTTGCAGTAGAGCAGCACATGCACCGAGGGCTGTGGGGGATGGAGAAAAGCTGGTATGTCTTTGGCACTGAGCAGACTGAATGATAAAGCAGTAGAGCGGAAACCCCTCTTGTAGATGTTTTGCATGTACTCTGACCTTGTACTGGAATCACCACATGTATAGACAAAGATTGGTGATGGTTCGCTGCTCATCTTTAATCCATCAGGCAATGCAAATTTAAAACATTTTTTTAAAAAACCCAGCACCTTGTCTTTGCTAGTTTTAAATTCAAATCTAGTCCAGCAAGTGTTACACAGTGTGGTAAATGCTAAACATCCAGTATATGTGAGAAACACAAAACCGATGGTCCCTGCCTTTGTCTGTGTTGACGTGTTTGTTGTTTTTCTTTTTTTTTCTTTTTTCATTTTGAGAAAAAGCATTTTTCTATTCATCGAAAAGAAGGACAGGAACAACATGAATGTCTCTGTAAACCAATCCCTTTTCCCAAAAAGGTGAGGATTGCACAAATAAGCTGTAAACACAGCAACAAACCAAGTGAGGGCAATACAAGTGTTGCTATGGTGACCAGAAGATCTTGCTTCTCTGTCAACAGCTGCTCATGCCACCCTGAATACCCCTCCCCACACACACACATTTAAACACATTTACACACACACACACAGAGACTTTCCTTCCATCTGACATCAGGGTCAAACAAACAAAGCAGACAGTGAAATGAAATGCTTATTTTCATTCTGATCCTTTGCTGGACATATCCTTTACCTTGCTTACATACAGCACATTATCACTGAACACAGGCTTTCATAACGTGTCAGTGTCCTTACAGCACTTATCCTGCTGAGCAACTCAAAAAATGAATTGATTATTAAATCGAATATTTAATTTATGTACATTCACTTCTTCCTGCCTGTTAATTGCCACATTCAACAAACACAAAGGATCAAATGATGTTTAGGAGGCAATAAATGCAACATGACTCTGTTGTAATAAAATATGACCTTGTAATCTCCTGCATGGCACTGTCAAGAACACACACACGCACGCGCTTTACAGCTACTTATTCAACGTTTATAAACTACAGAATGATAAGCCCTGTTTTATGGTGCCTCAGTTACATGCATTTACTACAGCTTAGCCAAACTATGCAATCTGTGAGTACTAGTGTGTGCGTGGTACTTTAACTGTCACAATAGTTTCCAAGTTCAAGAAAGGAAATGACAAGATATGGAGCCTAAACTTGTAACTTTCACCGACTTTCTACAGAGGGTTGTTTCGTTTCCGGAGCAGAAGGTTCCACTTCACAATGAATGTTTTTTCTGAAACTGCCTGCCTCGTCATCCAAACACAGAAAGATTCATTGCAGTAGTTTGAGGAAAATCTGTACAGTGTGGTCAAATCTGTTTTTTAATATTATTTTGCCAGTAATCTAAACATTTCATCTTCCTGTCATCCTTCATTAGGTACAGTATGTAACAATACACTCAACTCACAATACATGATTCATGATTTCTTGGTTCACAAATTGACTTTGACATTTTGAAACAAAATGATCTTGGTTCACAATTTGACTTTGACATTTTGAAACAAAATGAGCATTAGACAAATTGGGACTAAATACAGTGATCCTTTTTCAAAAAAAACACTATGCAATATACCATAACTGAAATGTTTTTGTGTACCTCATAAAAATTATCTTAAATAACAAAATACAAAAAAATGTCCACTTATTTACAGAAACAGTGTAAAACACTGTTTGTGTCCGTGAAAGAATTACTTCCACATTCTGTTTGAACACCTAAATGTCAAGTAGGCTATGTAGAGACGTGACGTCTTGGTTTTAATAGCAGGCCACAACTACCGGCACCTACTACCACCTACCATACTAGAGTGTGTAGTGTTCTTATGCATTTATGCTCAATTCATTTTTAATTACACCAATGTGAATTATTCCATATTTGTATAGATTTTTAAACGCAAGACTACATTTTTCAGCCACTGCCAAATAATCACCAGTTAGCTGACAGCTAACTGAAGTTTTATCTTGTTGGCCACATGAGTGTAAATGTACGGGTTATTCATCTGACATTTGGCGGAGATTGAATAAATTTGCACCCAGGAAATTTACAAAAATACAAAAACATAATGTCCACCTCGACAGAAGGTTAATTTCAAACACTGTGGTATTTGAGCAGATGTATAAAGAAACAAGATTTGATCAGCGTGTATATCTGTTAGACATTAGAAGCACATGATTTGTTTGGTTGGTTATGTGATCCAAATTGCCAGGTAAATTAGAAATGTTTAATGTTGGTCTAATCAGATAAGCATTTTAAATCTTGCCATCCAGGTATAGGACCTGGCAAGACCAGACAGGTCTAAAAATTATTTTCTTTAACGCATCTGACAAAGCCAGAAACCGTTTCGCTCTTGTCTAGCAATTGTCAGCTGCAACCACTTCCAAATGTGTCAGTCAGCAATTTATATTTAGTAACACATACTTTACTGTCAGAATATTTTGCTTTATTATAGTGGAACATAGAGTTTTTTCTGCAGGAAGCAGAGTCAGTTATAAAATTCTTCTTTTTACAGAAGGTAAAACTACTGCTTAAAATACCAGCACCTTCTAAGGGTATACTGGACTACTCACAAATTTCAGAAGAGATGTACTACATTCCAATAATGTAAGAACGTGAATATGTTGGAAAAAAAAGGGAAATTTATGGGTGAGTTTATACTTTTCACCAAAAAGTAACACGCCGAAATTGAAACAATGACTAAAGCTAAAAACATCCCCCTTTGGTAAAGCAAAATTTCCCTCAAACATGTTTAAGCCTGCCCAATCACCTTGCAATTTCTCACTGACATTATCTGAAGGCATTAATACTACACCGTGAAAATGTTGTGCTGTAGTGAAAAACTATCCAAAAAAACCCACAAAAATGGAGTTGAGCTTTTATTTAGCCAGGTTTATGACACTGAGTGTATATTTTTATGATATTCCTCCTAGACAGTAAAAGTGAACCAACGGCTGAAGTATTACAATTTGTTATTTGTGAGACAGTATTTTGCATACCTTTAAATAAACAAGACTTCATCTGATTTTAGACCATCTAAGAACACAGCAGTTATAGCACAACACAAAAACGTTTATGTTTATGCGATAATGAACACAGCCACCCTAAATCCAAACAACTGCAACCAATACTTGACCGTCATTTTGGTGTAACCACTAGTTTGTCAGTTGGCAGGAAGCCTACAAAGCCTGCGAGTCTCTTTTGGAGGGAGAGAATGCTTCACCTCCCCCCACGGCCTATCATAAATAAATACTGCTACAGAAATATTTAGACAGCTCTATGCAGAGCTTTGCAGCACCACGGGGCTGACAGGGGCTTTATCAGGGACTTCCTTGCCCTACTTATGAGCAGGGGATACATTTCTGTTTTGAGCACACAGTCAGACGCAGTGTAGCAGAGATTTGCTCTTGTCTCTTGGCGTCTCAGATTCACCAGTCTACAGCAGTCACATGTGAACTAGTTATCGGTGACAATTCAGGGAAAGGATTAGAACCAGAAAAAGAAAGAAAGAAATAGCTCTCTGTGCAGCACTTTACGTCAAATAATATTACATAAAGTAGTAACCCTGTAGTATAAATTTAGCATATTTTTATACCTTGAAACAGAATACACCACATAACAGATACTACCTTCAAAAAGCTTTTGAAGTAGAGAAGGACACTCACAGAAAAACAGGGCAAAACAAAATCCTCATGTTATACTGAAGTAGAGAAATGGTGCAGTCAACAGCTGCTTTTAGATACACACTTAAACTGGGAAATTCTGCAGAGATGATTTTGAAAGGGCATTTTATGTGAACAGTTTGTCAGTATGACCTCTGAACATGTACTCTACTTTAATATGTCCTGCTATATCCAGATTTTTAACACAAAGACAAGCACCATGCGCTTTAGGAGGTTTTATTCTTTATCTATTGATAAAGCCTTCAGCTCTCCAGGAATCAGGCCAAAAACCAAGCGTCCAATTACTTTTGAACCACAGAGTAATTGTTAAATATTTCCCACCAGGTTTCTTTACAGTTGCTGCAAACCACCTTAAATTGAAGCTGGCACTTTATATATAGTGTCTGTGATTTAATTTAAACTGTGACCTTACTACAGCTCTGAGCCTAACGTCCAGAAGGGCTTAAACTGGCCTAATTTTTGTTTCCAAATAAGCACCATGTACATCCACACCACAATTTGACTCCAAAGTTTTGACTTTTTTTTTTTATTAAACACCTGTCCCTACGTATATGGGTTTCTTCTTGCATCATCTACGTGTTCCATGGTAAAAACATCACCAGAGATGGGAAATGTCACTTATTGTTTTAAAAGAGCTTTCTCTTCCCTGCAGGCTCCTGCAGAATTGCACCATGAAAGGCTTTATGACAGCAGTTGCTAACAAAGATAGAGCCGACTAAGATAAATAAAAAAAATGGCCATGTGGCTGGACAAATAAGCAAAAGTGATCAGTCTTGATCAGTTGAGTTGTTGAATTTTTGGTCCTTGCAATGCATGTTGAAGGTGCCTTGTAGAAAGCATTGTTTGTAGAGAGAGTTGTTTTTAAATCTTTGGTGATGCTGTTGTCCTCAACGATATTAATCAATCTGCAGTCCCTCACAATCCATTTGACAATTGTCAGTGAGCTTGTCAAACTTAGGAAATTTATTTCTGAATCTCAGTGTTGGTAAATGCCACACTTGACCGAGGCAACCAACTGCACAAGCACCTACTTTAAGCTGCACCCTCTCTCCTTAAATCAAAAGCAGGAGCCTGTGTCTGCTCGACTTTTTTTCCCTCCATTGTTTACCTATCTGCACGTCTGTGTGTACATATCCTAACTCTGTTTTTGTTTCCCTGACTTTTCCATGGTGTCTTTTTAAGGACCACCATGTTCCAACATGACTTTGTGTGATCTTCCTTCATGTAATGTGAAAAAGGTACTGAACTCCTATAATCTTAAGAGCACCTTTTTTAATCAAAGTATTTGTTACAGAAAGCGGAATCAAGCTAGTCTGATGGAAGGAGGGAGCGCATATATGTGTGTATATATACGCATGTATATAGATGCCTTCATACACCACCACTGGAGGAAGAAAAACCAAGGTAAAACACATACTTTCTCCAAGATTGCATATTAAAGAAACTGAAATTCTTCTTCTTAAATCCTGTCTGTAAAGAAACAGTCAGACAATAACGTTATTGATTTAAGCCTTCTGAGTACACAGCACAAAGGTTACTGTGTTAACCTGGTATGAAATAAAAACGTTCACAGAGACATGCAAGACATGCACTCTGCATTTAAACACACCGATGGAATTAAAGTAACTAGTTTAGTTACTGTGATTAACATATTTAACAAACCATAAAAAGAAAATGATGATAGTTTAAAACATGTACTTAAGACAGTAAAACTCTTTTTGTCCTCCTAATGAGTAGCACTAAACCCATCTTTGCAACGACCACTATTAGTGTGGACTACAGCCCTCACCCTGGGCAAATAAACTAGTCACTGTGGTAAGAACTCAGGCAAGGTAATAGGACTGAAATCAATAGACAAATTAGTGTGTGAAATAAGAATTGTGCAGGTCAAGTAAAGGGTTAAGCTAACTCTGGAAAATTCTAATCACTCATGTACAGTAATCCAATGTGTTCCATTTATGTGCAGTGAATCAAGCAACACTTCACACATACGGAAAAGTAAGCTTTGGTAAATTGTTGGAGATGTATATTATAGACCAGATCTGGCCAATTTCTACATCTACTGTAACATGATACCAAACCACAAGTCCACTTAATAGGCCACTCACTGTACCCCAAGAGGCTTTCTTCTACTAAATATCTATTACATAAAAAGATAAACACATTAATGTCTTCATCACACAAAATGGAATGTAATGGAAAAGTAAATGGAAGTGCAAGATGCACTGAAAAATAGAAGAGGAACCAAATTAGATTCCATGGCACAAATTTTACAGTAATATTACAAGGAGAGCAAAAAAAATTGGACACATCTCTAAAATTACTCTGCCAACATCAAAAGTGAACAAAAGGTTTTTTTGACAGTGTAATTTCAAACATGGCCAAAGGAATCTTTTCAGCTACTATTGAAAAGACATGGAATGAGAAATGGGTTTAAATTTCTCCATTTAAGGGCATTTGGAGGCTGAATGCACTTTTAGCTTAAAAAAAGGGGGTAGATTAATAAGTAAATCCCCTTTAATTTATTCCTGTTTTATGATTCATAATATTGACCTATTATCATATTTATATTTCTTCCAAGTGCTTGAAAGAAATCCCTTATAACATTAGACAGTAATACTTGATTATAAATGGTTTCTGTCTCAACAGCATTGACATATGGGCGTGGTTGTTGGTGCTTGTGTAATTGTGTCCAAAAGCTTACCGA